CCAGCAACATATTTCCCAATTTTGGAACCTTGAGTTTTCCGGTTATTTTCAAAAGTAAAAAAAAAATTGAAAAGGAAGGTATTTAATAGCAACGAGGAGACAATGAATGCGGTTAATGCTGAACTTGTTAAGCTTAAAAAACAAGATTTTGAAGCCTGTTTTCAGAAGTGGATTCATAGGCTTAAATCAATGGCGATTATGTAGAGGAAATAAAAAAGGATAAAAATTATTTATAGATACAAAAATAATTTTTTTTCTGATCAAATTACCGAACTTTTGTGGATCCCCACGTAAATAATACAAGTCTCTAACAGGAAATAAAGCTTCTCATACAAAAACCATCAACCGTTCGGAGGTGGCTTAGTCCCTCCATTTGTTGGAAAAACATCAAGACGCAAAACCACAAATTGGTGGCGAAGCTCGGCCGAAAATCGTTTCAGCGGTTACAAAGCATCAATTATATATAAATACAACAAGTACTTTATTTTAGTTTTCTTTACTCAAATCGTTTGTATTTCAAAGCACATAAGTGTTTATTTATGAAATTAATTAATGTTGAAGCATACTTTTAGGCTGTTTGCTACGATAGCTCTGTTAGTGTCAAATATATGTTAACATAAAAACAACGAAAGGGCTGGTCTTGCCTAAACATTAACACTCTCATAATTATACTCGTATCCTATTGAAAATTGAGTATAAAAACCGTTAGGACAACTTTTTAACTTCATTACCAATGGTTTTGTGTTGTAGTAATAGCAAGTCAGCACTAGTTCGAAACACAATGGACAGCGTAAATCAGTATATAATATTTGATAAATACATAAAAGCTTTGGCAGAACAAAAGTTGACCGAACAAACAAAATATCGTGCACAAGTGGAGGGTGTTTCATATTCAAAAAAAGTGAATCGTGAAGGTCTCTATGAGAAATCAAAGAAGAGGCATTTAAATGCTCTAAAGTCTGTCAGAGACATCTACCTAAAAGGAAGCACCAGAAAGTTAACCGATAATCGTAACAAACTTTCAAATACAAAAAAATCGGTACAAATAATCAAGCCGAACACAGGTTTCGTCACTTATTGTGAAATCGCTAGCGTACACGGCTTTCGTTGGTTAGTGGGCGCTACAATTAGGCAACGTGTTTTTTGGCTTATAATTCTGGGTCTAATGTTAGTTACGGTCAGTTTTACTCTGTGGACGTCAATGAGTTTGCATGAGGATGATCCAACCATTTTATATACAGAACCCAGAACAATTTGGGACTCAAGTTTTCCCTCGATTACACTATGTAATTTCAATTACATTTCGAAGCGGAAACTTAATAAACTTCTAAATGAGGAGTGAGTATGGGTTGTATTTTTTTATATAAATTAAAAACAAAAAAAAAAAAAAAATAGGGGGACAGCTGCATTTCATTATGATTTATAGAACGGTATATGAATAGTTGCATCTCTACTATCCGGCGTGAGTTTATTCATTTACAAACCTTTACGACCAAGCCTTTGTCTGGCTGATAAGGTGCGGCCACCGTAGACGAATTGTTAGCATTGAGTACTAACATTCAGCTTTCACCTGTTGATACTGCATTAAATACTCCCAGGCCAGGAGCTCTTTATTTCTTACGGCCGACCTGACCTAGTAAGCGAAGCCGCTTACGCAAGATCTCTCACATAGTAGAAGAACAACTAACGGCGATAAAGAGTCAACCTGTCAACTTTCGTGCAACAGATGGTGACTGTATAATTGATGAAGAGGCCTATTCTCTTTTCACGGATCTTTTCCAGGAATATCTGCTCTATGACGAATCCACTAGGCTTAAACCCTGACAGTTAAGACTCGAACAGTTTATTGGTGGAGGGCATTAGTCTTCCTTCTCTCCTCCGCAAACGCATCTCGCACCATTCTTTCCCTCTGCATATCTTTCTCATAATGCTGGCATTGTGTAAGATAAACAGTATGCTTTCTCTCCCTGCCATACGATCAGTTCTCATTGTACTAGCTTTTCTTTTCACTTTCGCGTCCAATCGTTTCTATAACGGCGGTACGTCGAGTGCTTGAAATGCCGTTGAACAGCACACTTGTATTGAGTTGTTGCTGTGTGATCGCATAAAGCAAGAGTGCCAGTTGTGTAAAAAATTGCTTGACTGTTTGTAGGCCATTTAAAGAGATTTCCTGGTGGTGGCTAAAATGTTCCACCGTTGAGCCGAAGGCCCCTTTGTCTGTACTGACGTCAGCAAAGCACAAGTTTGATAACGTGACAGTAAAAGGGCTCATAAACACATTCCGAGCACTTATAGAAGGAATGTATGACCTTAAAATACCCATCTTCCATTTGGTGGTGGGCGCAAATCAGCGCTATGATAATGCATCCACCGGAAAAAAACTGAGACCCTATCCCATTATGAATCCGACTTGAACCTTATGTCCTTTAGCCGGTCACTATAATAATTGTCACAAGGACCTAACCTAATTTGTGCTTGACTCGTCCATAGCTTCGTTTCTTTGAGGCTGACGCCTGTCTTAACATTTCCGATGATGTCAGCTAGCTAGGCAGCGGTACCTTCTCACTTAAGAGGCCGGAAACTTCTCGAATGCTCTTAAGTACATTTGCAATGGTTTTCAAAAAATTTGGAAGCTCTAACTTTAGGCTTATGACTCTTTTATATTAGACTATTTTATTATTAGTTGGAGTCATTATATCGAAACCCATACTATAGCATCTGTGTACTCACAGTCACACCTCTGGTGAACAGACGCTACAATTGCCAAGAGAGCGCAAGAGTAGGAATGGCGTATAACACCGCGACTGTAATTGCATACGCAGCAGTAAGTCTACAACCCATTACAGCCATGGCATAGTTTGACAAAAAGATATTAATTCAACAATATGAATTCAACAAAACTTACACATCATATATTAAATCCAAAGAGTATCGCAGGCGCTCTGGTTGTGGTGAATACCCCGAGGATTTATATTTGTAGAACAAAAGTAAACGAAAGCAGTGTTTGAGTTCAGATCCCGATTTTTATTTATTAATAAGAATTGCTCAAGAGTTAACTGAGTGGCGTAGTGGATCTTAGTGTCACTCTGATTCCAAGAACGGATTGAGTTCTTCTCCTTTCCCGCTTAACAATTGTAGCTGTACCCATTTACTTTATGGAAATTTTGTAAGCCCGCAATCAAAACCCAATTCGTGCAAGAATGGAAGTCAAACGAACACCAAGCGCGTCGTATGTTCGGTGAATAGATCCAAAAGAAGATGGTAGCCGATTCCGATTTCCACAAGAAAAGGGTTTTCACATTGTCTTGCTGAAATTGAACCCCGTCTAAATTAGTATCGCCCAAAATGCGCGTTAACGAAGGCAGAAGAACAGCTTCTAATACATTTATGTACTTTTGACTGTCCATGCGACCCTCGAAAACGAAAATTTTGCCGACACCATCAGCAGCCATGCAGCCCCAGGTCATAATGCTTCCTCCTCCATGCTTAACTGTGGATATCACGCAATCTGGATGATATTCTTCCCCAACCCGTCGCCTCACGAACGTCACACCAGGTGTTCTAAATATCTGTAGAAAAGAAGTAATAATCTAAATTACTCTAGGGTAAGAAGCTATGTCTGTTAATACCTTAAGACGATCTTAACTAAGCTTACCTCGAAGTTTGATTCATCAGACCACAGAACCTTCGACCAATCTTCTTCCTTCAAATATTGGTATCGGCGAGCCCATTCCAAACGATTTTTCCTATTCTTTTCTGGCTTGTTTCGGACTTTACATCCTTTTAAACCTGCTTCCAGAAGTCTTCTTCTAGCTGTTCGAGCACTAACTGGCTTACTAAATTCATTCGAAAGGGCAGCTTCGAGGGTAGTAGAAGAATTTTTTCGATCCTTTAGAGAGTCGCGCATAAGTATTCGGTCTTCTCGTTTACTGGTTAGACGCTTTCTTCCACTTTTTCATTGATTATTGTGGGATTTGGTCTCCACAAATCGCCTGATAACACATTGGACCGCGCACCGCGTACATCCCACCAAATTGGCAATCTCAACCTGGGACTTACATTCTTCCTTTAGAACTTGAATTCTAACTCTATCATCTTAACTAATTTCACTTTTTTAGGCATTTCGGCAAATATGAACTGTTTTTATAAGATTGGTAACTTTTCACTAAATGTAATTTACACTTTCTCTTTCAAATTTTAAATGCGAAAATATTTTATGAATTTATTAAAAATTACAGTTTTTGGGCTTAGCTTACCCAGTGTGCTATAGCAAATAATAATAAAATACACTCGGAGGGGTGCAGATTTCTTTTTTATTTCAAGGAAAGGAAGGAAATTTTTGGTGTGCGCATTATCTCGCGACGGGGGGGCCTGTGGTGTGGCTTCTTAAATCGTGCGCTTTAACACCATTGAACTTTTGAGTGAGACTAACTGAAGTCGTTTGACTACGCAGCGATTGAGGAGATTTATTGCTGGCATGCGACTACAATTACTGCAGTAAGTGGTCGAAAATTGCGCCTCTCGGCCAAAATGCAAATGGCAAAAAATCAAAAAATCTGTTATTTGTTTGGGGTGTGCAGCCAAAAAAAATTGGTAGAGGACACTAATGGGGATTTCCGTGGAAATCTCAACCTTTCGAGACTCTTCAGCCCCGTTTTGTATTTCCAACAATGTGGTCTTTGGCAGCAACTTCTATGCTGATTTTTTTCTAACTTTTCTATATATTTAAACAAATAAATCCTCAAGAAATAAGTTTTGGTAAAATTTCGAAACTTTTGAGGGACTCCCGATCCCCATTGCTAAATAATTCCGACACGGAACAGTGATGTTATTATGAAAGATTTTTTGAGTTCCTCAGTTTTTTCAAATACGTAAGGGTATTGCCAGTTTTATTATAATTTATTTACCTTTATTTTATTATATTTTTATTTTTTTTATTTTTTTATATAAATAAAATTAATTTAATAATCTCAACATAACGTACCCTTCTTTATTTTCAGTTTCAGTCCACAAACCATCCAACAAATTCGCCCCTATCTTCGATATCTATTATACAATGTGCTACCGGTAAATGCCACGCCCACCGAATATCAATATTTAGATATGATTTTGAAGAGCAAAAATTATACACATCTTGAGTTTCTACAAAAAATCTCACCAGATTGTCAAAGTCAGTTAATACGTTGTAAATTACACGATCACATACGTCCGTGCCGGGAACTCTTTCAGCGTATTGAAACAGAAAATGGTTTCTGCTGTTCATTTATTTACGATGAAAATCTACTGGGAAAGGATACCAAGGGACAGACCATGAGTTTTGGTTACAGGTGGGGCTTGACGATATTACTCGATCCGCAAGTGGAGGACTATTACGCGTCCAGAAGCAAATTGGCTGGATTTCAAATATTCTCACATGAAACAGCCGATCGTATAAGTATGGATTATCCACACCAAATGGTCTTTGCACGTAACGAAATCGATATACGCGTCACAACATCCTTAACGTATGCCATACCATATGTGCGACGGTACGATGTGGACATGCGTCGTTGTTATTTCAATAATGAACGCAAATTGCTTACATTCTCCAATTATACGCAATATACGTGTTTCTTGGATTGTCGTAGTAGACAGATGCTAGCGACGTGCGGTTGTGTGCCACCCTTATGGTCGCGTACGAGTAATTGGAGCATTTGCACGTTGACACAGGCGAGCTGTGTGAAGGCTAATATGGGTATTGTCCGGCGAGTGCAACCAAATTTTTTGTTCAAAATTCTAATTTAATGGAATTTATTTCTTACAGAACGTATTATGCGCACCATAAACCATGTACATCGTGACGTCGAACCTTACAAAAGTAATCCCAACAGTGAAAGATACATTTGCCAGTGCTATCCGAACTGCAATTTATACATTTATAACACCTACTATGATGTTACACCGTTGGAGAGGAACTTTTCCATGAATGACATGGAGTTCTTGTGAGTGTTATTAATTCTTTTTGGAAATTTTATGGTTTTTCCCATTTTTTTTTTAATTATTCTATTCTACTTTTCTGCAAGTAGCAGTGGCGTCGAGCTGAAAAATCACTTAATGGTTCATGTTTTCGTCTCCGATATGAGTGGAGAACACACGCGCCTGGACGTCTACTATCAATGGCAGAATAATTTTGGTATATGTAGAAATACATGTGTATGTATGTGGGTTTTATACATTTCTTTAATTTCTATTTTAAAGGCTTATTCGGCGGCATAACAAGTTTATATATGGGCTGTAGTTTCATATCCATTTTAGAAATATTTTTTTTCCTTTTCGTGCGTCCGCTATGCAATTGGTTAGCAAGGCGAAGGCCTCGCCGCCAAGTTGGGCATAATAACAACCTAAAGTGGGCTGGAAAAAGAAAACCAAAAATTGCAATTAGTTCTATAGCATGAAATATAATCGAAAATTAGCAGTTAATTCAATTTGCTTGTGGAAATTCAATTATTTTTTTTCCAAAGAAATGTGAAATATTTTACTTCTTTTATTGAGCTTCTAGGAAAATAAAAGCTGTTGAATTTTCACATTTATTTATTTACAATTTTGGCGCTTTGTATCGTCTTGATGTTTTTCCAACAAATGGAGGGATCTACAGTTTATATAATATTAAGCAGCCTCCAAACGGCTATAATTTCATGCCAGAAATACACTCGGAGGGTTTGACATTTCTTAACTTTTGGATGCTAGTGGTTCCAGGATTTGAAACCTGGTCTTCCCAATGAAGTAAAGGATACTCCTCGGAATGAAAATCATTAAATCTGACCCCCATGCGGGCACTCGGGCACTGTTTTGATTGCTCAAGAGTAAAGCATTGTCCAAAAAATAGTTTGGAACCACTTGGAAAAGGCTACATACACAAAGAAGTACGATGTATGGGTGCTACACCTAGTTCTGAAGTGTATGGTCAGAGGTGATATGAAAGTGAATCAAGTGTTCGAAAGGCAGCGAGCTGGCACAAGCGGTCTCCAAGCCAGGATTGATAGCCAGGATTTGTTGAGTTTTTAGTGGGATTGGTCCTTGGCCATTAGCTGATCCCCCATAAATCCCCGCAAATGTACCTTCAGTAACTGGACTGTCTGAAGGATGCATGCGTCTGGCAGCGCCCAGCTTTGGCCAACAGAAGGGGAATTATGTTTCATCAGGACAACGCCCAACCATGCAGATCGATAACTACTCGCCAAATGTTCCAAGGGGTTCTTATATACCCATCTTATAGTTCGGACCTCGCACCAAGCTCATCTGTTCCTGTTTATGGCGAATGATTTGGCTGGTTAAGAACTGGGCTCATGCGAAATCTTAGCGCTGGGAGCGACGCTTTGACGATGAGTACTGCCGGGTCGCAGTGGAGAAAAAGTAGACTGCTTATCTCGCAACCTTGCGATCAACCACAACATGTGCGGGATGATGAGATAGATACCGAGAGTTGAAGAGGGAAGCAAGACGCATCTGAAGACAAAAAAAAAAAGGCCGAAATGCATGAAAGTGAAGAGCTTGAGAAGCTGGCCGACAAGGGTAATGCTCGGAAATTCTATGAGAAGATGACGCCTAACGGAAGGTTTCAAGACCGGAGCAGACTGTTATAGGACACAAAGAGGTGATCTAGCCACCGATGCCGAGAGTATATTGAATTTATGGAGGCAACACTTCTCCAACCTGCTTAATAGTAGTGAAAATGGAGAATCCGGAAATGGTAAGACCGAAACTACAATCGATGATGATGGAAAAGACGTTTCATTACCTCATCATGAAGAAATTCGAATAGCAATCGCCCGCTTAAAAAACAACAAAGCGGCGGGAGCTGACGGCTTACCTGAAGAACTATTCAAGCATAACGGTGAAGAGCTGACAAGGTGCATGCATCAGCTACTTTGCAGAATGTGGTCGGGCGAAAGCATGCCCGACGATTGGAATTTAAGTGTGCTCTGCCCAATCCATAAAAAGGGAACGGCACAGTCTGCGCCAATTACCGTGGGATAAGTCTCCTTAATATCGCCCATAAGATCCTGTCGAGCGTATTGTGTGAAAGACTGACGACCATTGTGGCTTCAGATCTGATAATTCATCCATTGACCAGATATTCACCATGCGACAAATCTGCCTTCGACGGAGAAAAAGTAGAAACCTCTAAGCGCTCTGTTTCTGAATCTGATATCCTCACAGAATTTCTACTGTGGGGTTAACGTTAAGTAACACTAAAACCTCCGTCGGGTTAGGGAAGGACCTCTCCAAGGCATTAGAAACCAAACATGGTTTCAGACGAGGTGACTTTTGTTACTTTTTTAATTTATTGCTGGAGAAAATTAATACGAGCCACGTAAGGATAACCTGCGATATAGAATATAAGACCCAAATATGGTAATTCAGCCTACATTAGGAAAATGAAAGACGAGGATAAAATCGCAATTAAAACATACAGGTCCATAATAGACTACGTAGTTGGGGTGTGGGTATACTCTGTCTACCCAATTTAGTTAAAATCTTTCAAGCAGAAGTCCTAGTATTAAAAAGTGCCTTAAAGTGATACTAATTGACTACGAGGGTATACAAAGAGTAGCTATATACTCAGAGAGCAAACGGAATCAATAACTGCAAGAAGGCTCTCTGGCTCTCTGCTCAATGTTGAAGAGTTGACCAAGTCTTGATGAATATGATGGCGCGATAATATCTAGGACGATCAAAAGAAAACTTTTCTTGAGATTTGAACACTACAGATGGTTGAAAACAACTTACTGAACGTCGTAATACGGAACTTGTCCAGATATGACCAGTGTGTTTGTAGACTTGCAGCTAGAAGAACTGAGTGAAGGTCTTCCTCTTCCTCTGCTTCCACCGCCGGCTACTGTATCGATCGCTGAACTATGCCATTGTTGCCGTATAACTCATACAGCTCATCGTTCTATAGTCTGCGATATTCGCCATTACCAATGCGCAAAGGACCATAAATCTTACGCAAAACCTTTCTCTCGAACGATGAGGGACTTGCCTACTCAGTCCAAAGTAGAACCTGTTGGCAAGAGTGATTCTGCATTGGATTTCAAGGCTGACATTATTGTTGGTGTTGATGCTGGTTTCTAGGTAGACGAAATTATCTACGACTTCAAAATTATGAGTGTCAACAGTGACGTGGGAGCCAAGTCCCGAATGCGATGATTGTTTGACAGACCCATTCGCTTCGCTTCTTTATCAAGCCTGGAGAAAGCAGAATTAACGGCACCGTTGTTGAGGCCGATAATATCAATATCATCGGCGTTCGCCAGGAGTTGTACACTCTTATAGAAGATTGTACCTTCTCAATTCAGCTCTGCAGCTCTTGTTATTATCTCCAGCTTCAAATTGATGAAATCACAAAATGACGAGAAGTCACCCTGTCTGAAACCTTGTTTGGTACCGAACGGTTCGGAGAAGTCCTTCCTAATTATGACTGCGCTTCTGGTGCTGTTTAGCTTCCACAGCCGTTTAAGTTTTGCAAGGATACCAAATTCAGTGGAAGCTCCTTTTCACGCTGTCGAAGGCGGCTTTAAAACCGACGAAGAGTTGGTAGGTGTCGATCCTCTTTTCACGGGTCTTTTTCAAGATTTGGCGCATGGTGAATATGTGGTCAATGATGGATTTACCACGTCTAAAGTCAAACTGTTAAGGTCAAATTCTTGTTAGCTGAGGGTCATTTGGTTTTAATACAAAACGCTAGATTGGACCTTATATGCGATATTTAAATGGCTAATCCGACGGTAATTGGCACACACTGTCAGGTGCACATTTTATTAATTGAGTAGAGCAAGCCGTTTTTTTTTTAGTTTATTTTTTTAAATTTTTTTTTTTTTTGACGGTCAGGTGCGCTATTTCTATTCTAACTTCTTCACGGTCGGGCACGGTCGTCTTTGATTAGGGAATATGGCTCGCCATCTCATGGCAATCCATTTTCGCTCTCATTCTGCTGGCTAAAGAAGTGTTCGCTCCACATATTCTATATCACCTTTGGTCTTGAAACATTTCTGAACTTTACCCTTGGCTCTTCGATGACTTTCTTTTTCATTCATTCATTTTTGCATATGCATCTTGCTTCTCTCTTCAGCTCTCGGTATCTAACCCATATCGCACGTGTTTTAGTCGATTGCAATGTTGTCGGGTCGGCAGATTGTTTTCTCTTCACTACCGTGTTGCTGATGAGCCCTCTCAGGAAACCATTCGGTGGTCTGTTGTGCTTGCAGCTTTTCCACATTGTCCTTAAGATTTTAGTTTGTTGAAAAAAATAAAATTATAGAAACTCAAAAAAAAAATTTCGTTTTCCGCCCCATTAAGGAGGTTAATAGCTTACACGGGCAACTAGGAATTACTACAAGTTTTGGTCATTAGCAGACTGTATGGTCATGGCATAAACGTGCATACAAACACAGTAATCTTTGTGCTTAACAGTAATTGATATGCATTTCTTTAATGAATAAAAGAGAAAGTGTTCACTTTGAGCAACTATAATTAAATTAATGTCGAAAATTACTAGTCTTTAAGAAATACCATAGAATTACACTTTGTGCTTGCATACAAATTAAGCCGCGCAGTCAGTTTTCGAAACAACCCCAGGAGTTGCAGTGCTCGTTACTTGTTTAATTTCAATTATTGGAAAACTTAAGAAGCAGTCAAAATGTCGGCGTTCAAACGGTCACCATTCAAAAATCGAAAAAATCGCATTTTTGACGTACAACAACAACAACAACAACAACAACTACAGCAACAGCAAGAATTGAAGCATAAAAAATTGCACTCTTCAACCACCATCAACGCAAATATTCGTACGAATATGAAATTGGAAAAACACAAAGTTTCGCGGCTACGTCAGCTGGCCACCTTTTCACCCCTTCGTCATTGGTTTATGGAGAATTTACGCAATTATTGCAATAGCACATCCCTGCATGGCTTCAACTATATAACACTGAAGACCGCCACTGCGAATGAGCGACATTTTTGGATTGCCATTGTTATTGTATCGATTATAACCTCCATTGTTTTGGTCTTAGTTTCGTGGTTTTGGAATCGTGAAACTCCAACAGTGACAGTGATCGAGAGTGCACATTTTGCCACGTGGGCTATACCATTTCCGGCGGTGACTATTTGCAATTTCAATAAAATATCCAAAATGAAGGCTTTCAAATTGGCGAGAACGCTGTGAGTGAAATTGCTGAATACGAATGTTGTATAGAATATTTGGTTAAGTAAAAAGTAGTCTATTTTTATTACATTCAATTGAAAACTTTATTTATCATAGTTAAAATTAGAATTAGAATCAAATCTTAGACTTAGACAATTTATACTTGCTTGTAAGACTGTAAAGAGAGAAGAGGGAAAAAAGCAGGGAAATTCTCATTCGTGGCTTTTCATCACGATACAAACATCTCAAAATTTGGTTTCCCTTCAACATTTCTCTTTTTACAGTAATTAGAATTTAATATTCTCTTCATCTTGGTCGTTTGGACTTCAGCGGTAAAGAAAAATTAAAATTAAAATATTTGCCATAAAAGTGAATATTTTTCGAAGTACAATTTTTTTAATTCTCAAAGTTGCTCGTTTTTTTTTTCTTGTTTCCATCTAGACGGCAACTTCATAATACCTTCCTCATAGAAGCCCCCCCCTCCTTATTTGCGAAGAATTCGGACAGCCACTTTTCAGAAGCCTCTTTTGAGTTCAACTTCACACCACCAAGGGCATTCGCCATGGACAGGAACAGGTGGTAATCACTTGGTGCTACGTCCGGGCTAAATGGTGGATGCGATAAAACCTCCCATCCGAGCTCCCATAGCTTCTGAAGAGTCATCAACGATGTATGTGGTCTGGCGTTGTCCTGGTGGAACACTACACCCTTCCTGTTGGCCAATTCTGGACGCTTCTGACGAGTCATCAACGAAGTGTGTGGTCTGGCGTTGTCCTGGTGGAACACTACACCCTTCCTGTTGGCCAATTCTGGACGCTTCTGGTCGATCGCCTGCTTCAAGCGGTCCAGTTGTTCGCAGTAAACGGTAAAATTAAGCGTCTGGCCATATGGGAGCAGCTCATAGTGGATGATTCCCTTCCAATCCTACCAAACACACAGCAAAACCTTCCTGGCCGTCAATCCCTGCTTGGCCACTGTTTGGGACGATTCACCGGCCATCGGCCACGACTGCTTTCGCTTGATATAGTCGTATGTGATCCATTTTTCGTCGCCAGTCACCATCCGTTTCAAGAATGCGTCGAGTTCGTTCCGTTTCAGCAACATATCGCAGGCGTTGATTCGGTTCAGAAGGGTTTTTTGCGTCAAATTATGCGGCACCCAAACATCAAACTTTTTTTGTATCCAGCCTTCTGCAGATGGTTCAAATGGTTTGGTGACTAACTCCCATCCCCTGGGGGATGTCACGAGATGCCATATGCCGGTCTAACTCGATGTATTCCATGATTTGATCGGTATTTGTCGTCACAGGTCTTCCGCCGGCTGGCTTATCCATGGTGTCGTTTTCACCGGCTCTGAATCGTCGAAACCATTCCTCCGCGATTCGGAGTGATAGAGTACCATCCCCCAAAACACCATTAATCTCACGGAACGTTTCTCCAACGGATTTGCCTTTAACGAAGGAAAACTTTAAAATAGCGCGAATTTCGGCGTTAGTGAACTCCATGTTTACACGTCTATAACTGTTGAACGCAATATCCAAACTAATTATGCATAGCGTTGTTTTGTAGGCTATGTCAAGACCTTTCAAATTATGTATAGTGTTGCCAGATAGTAGCTCTGTAGCGCTTTATACATAGCCGCGAAATTCAAAAGACAATAAAGCGGAAGGGAGATACTTGACAACCTTATATTATCATATAGGGTTATCCATTTCGAGGTCTCCATAGTACAGGGCCATATTATGACATCTGTCAAACTAAACATGTTGGGTTTTAGTTTAAATTTTGACATGTTTAAAAATAACCGCACAACTCGTTAGGATTTTGTAAACCTACTACAAGAATGGTTATTCAAACGTGGCCCCATTTTGTGCTTTGAGAAAAGATTATGGTGCTCATATTCGCCCAAGTGCTCAAGCAAATGGAAAAATTTTATAAAAACTTGAGGCGACTGTATCGGTTACTGATATTATAAGGCCTGGGTACCATCATTTTGCTCGATCCAACTCAAGTATGGCAATGAAATGAAAGTATAGCCGAAGGTACTACTGTGTTTTTTTCAGGGTATTTTCAAGAGGTGTGACTTTCTTAGGACTCATTATGGAGTTACACCTACATCCGTGTACAGTCTAACACATACAGCAACCGAAGCCAACTAACAGTTCACCATTCACGCTGTATATACTCGTATATCCATTGGCTGTTTGAACAACTGGCAGTGTTCGGCGATTTTTCGAATATAATTTTCTTCAGCGATAACGCACTCACCTCAAAAAACTTCTCTGCCACTGGCAATTTGGAGCGTTGCGGTCGTATGGAATCCGACTTTTTCTGCCTGTACTTGAATAACACGACTTAACCCATATATGGTTTTAACTAGATGGTGCCAGATGCCTTATAACAAGAGCTAATATGGCTTTATTGCGATAGAAATTTCCCAGCCGCGTAATCCCTCGTCTTGGTGTCAATTGGCCACCGAGATCGTACGATATGACACTGTCGGACTATTTCCTGTGGAGCTATGCGAAAGACCGTGTTTACACGGATAAACTTATCTTTCTCTCTCTCTCTCTTTCTCTCTTTCTCTCTCTGTCTATCTTTCCCTCTCCACCTCTCTTCCGCTCTGTCTCTCTCTCTTTCTCTCTCTATCTATCTTTCCCTCTCCATCTCTCTTCCGCTCTGTCTCTCTCTCTTTCTCTCTCTATCTATCTTTCCCTCTCCACCTCTCTTCCGCTCTGTCTCTCTCTCCGTCTCTCTCTATCTTTCTCCCTCTCTCTTTCTCACTCTCTCTCTCTATTTACGTCTCTCTCTCTCTCTCTATCTATCACTCTCTTTTGCCAATCTCTTTTTAGCAAACGCCCAGCTAGTGTTTCCGAAGAGAAACTTCTGAGCCTCTTTCGCATAACAATGTTCTTCAACTTCGCCTTAAATCACACGCAAGAAGATTTTAACATTTTCGAAACCATACTGGAAAGTAACAATCTCACATTGGCAAAATTAACAGAACAGCTGTCACCCGATTGCATGGACATGATATCGAAATGCGTTTGGAAAGGCACAGCATCGCGTTGTGACAGTCTATTCCAGCCAGTGCAGGCAACGGAGGAAGTCTGCTGTTCGTTTAACTATTATGGACGAACAACTAATAATTTTCCGAAGTATGTACATAGACCGTTAAAGCATATTTCTTTAATGAAAATTATATATTTTTTTTTTTTTAACATTAATTTTATTGCGTCATTTCAGAAAAATTGCATATCAAGTTCCAAAGCTGCCGTATCGGGTTACCGGCTGCGGACATTCTACTGGCATTTCTGTTGTACTCAATCCCCTTAACGAAGACTATTTCAGCACATACCTTAGCAGTTATGGCTTTCGTTTGTTCATTCATAGCGCATACGATTTCCCCGATGAAAATGCCGAAACGAAAGTAGTCACGTCGGGCCGTGAAAGTTTTGTGCGTATAAATCCCGAATCAACATATGCCACAAATGCTGTTCGTAACATGGATCCACAGATACGTAACTGTTTATTTTCCGATGAACGCACGTTGCCAGCTATGCAACGCTACACATTCGGCAATTGTATGGCGGAATGTCGTACAAAGATTATTTATGAGTTTTGCGGTTGTATTCCAATGAGCCTGCCGAATAATGGCAGTTTTAAGGTGTGCGATTTGCGAGAAATATATTGCGTAATGAATATACGAGGTAAGGGCAGGGATGTAAGGGAGGAAATTCATTATGTATGTACGTGTATGTACCTAAGAATTCATTCTTTTTTTCACTAATTGCAGATATTTTCTCATTGTCTTTACCCACAAGAAATGTGACCCAATCGATTGTGCAGGTGACTGATAAATTTCCATGTGACTGCCTTCCAGGCTGCGAGTTTAACAGTTATGCATCGGAGATTACAATGGGATTATTGGATTTGAATTTGGTTGCCTCGAGCAACAGTTTAAAGTAAGTCCAAGACTTTCTCCCGTAAATACTTAAGTGGAGGTTGGCATTTATGGAGACAGATACTACGAGGGTTTCTTTTTATATTTCGGGATTAATGAAAAAATTAAGTACAAATTTATTAACAAAAATCATTTTATGGTTTTTCGAAAATATTCTCTTTTAAGATCCATCCAGATTTTTGCATGCATTTACACCAGTTGTGAATGCACTTCGCTCCCTTAACTTAATCGCAACCGCTTCTTCATGTTAACGGTAATCTCTCAGTTTATTTTTAGGTAGGGGAATAAAAAGTAGTCATTCGGTTTAAACTCAGGACTTTACGGTGGATGACTCATAAAATTGTTTTTTTTTTTAGTTCCCGAAAATGCAGTATCCTGATTGCAACACTAGGACTGCCAAATTTCCAAATATTAAAGGAAACCCTCGTATATAGTTAGGTTACGGATTAAGTCTCTGTTTCGCCGCACCTAAAAAACTGGATTTCGAAAATTCGTCATTGTTCATGGGTTACATACGTGTAGGTCTTGAAACTTCAAAAAAATTTTTTTTTATAATTTTTTGTATAAAATTACCAAAAGTCAGGAATATTTTGCCCAAGTTTGAAGTCGATGGAAACGAAACTGTTGAAATTAGAGAGTTTTATAGCCCGCAGTCTTTGTCATGGCTTGACCGATGGCGAAACTTTAAACGCGTTTTTCTTAAAACCTCTTTATCGAGATCGGTAGTCGAAATTTCTCAAGGACTATTGAAGTTAGTTCAAATTCTCCACACTTCTCTTAAGCATGTTTTTGTAGTCCCTGAACAAAAATTTTTTTTTTTTTTTTTTTTTTTTTTTTTTTTTTTNTTTATTTTTGATTTCAATTCATTTTACAAGCCAATTGTGGCCTAATTTTATGCAAAAATTTACGTTTTTTGTCAAAAAAAAACGCTAAAAAAATTCAATTTTTAGTTTTTTAATTTTTCTTCGTTCAGGGAGAAGGGAAATTCACCTACTCTAAGAAAAAATTTGGGTTTTTGATTTCAGATAAAAATTGAAAAAGTTATCATGACTACCGCGAAAACACTTTCTTGTGGACGGTCTACTTCACAACACTGCCAACGCCTTAACTTATACTATTTTTCATTCAAATTTTCATCGAATTTTGTCCACATATTGTACTTTTATATGTAAGCAAAATAAATTTCATACTCTCTTTGGTATCTTTTAAAAAATTTAGAGAAAATAAGCTTTTTTTGGCCTTCACGACCTATGTAACCCCTTATTTGTCTTGCTTGCTCTAGCTCTAACGACTGAGTTTCTTTTCGATATTAAATGAGGGGCACCTCTGAGGGGCAACCCACACACACAATGATTATTACTGTTTTTCTACATGTATATAATGTATATAATGTATGTAATGTATGGTTATCCTTGCATGGAATACATGTAAGGCAGTTGATGGTGATCGCTTCATCCGGGAAATTCAGCTGAGATTGAGAGCAAATCGTTGGTTTTGTAATACTTCACTCCACAGAAAAAAAGTTAATTTGATACCGCTTCTCGTAAACATACAGATCATGTATTTTCTAGACTTTATAAGCATTATTGTTTGTCTAAATTTCTCATTTGAAACAACTCTGTTGCATAGAACGCAAACTGGTTGAACTCATTTTAACAGCCTGACGATCTTCATATAACATTAATAGTTCGGCGACTGTCTGAGAATTGGGACATACTCGTATTTTTGCGATTGGCCCATTCGGAACGTCTTTCCTTGATATCTTTGTTCAATTTCAATAGCTAACGGTTGGTTTCTTAGAAACAGTACAAAGTACTCCATACACTTGCAATTCCACAACATGGAAAACAGATTATTTTTTGGTGATATAATACCCCTGCGGGTTAGGAATTCAAGAACTGACCCGCGGTAAGGCATGCTTGTCATAAGAGGCGACCAAAATCCAATAGTTCTCGCTACAGTCGGGTGTTTATACCGGAACGACGTGGAATTTTAACCAGCCAAGAACTGTCGCTCCTGCAACATCCCCCAAAAAGGGCTTTGGGGAATATTTTTGCGGTTACAACAACAAAAAACATTTGATATTGAAACATCCCGTGCAACTTAGTTGTTTACTTAAACGTGCATTCAATTTTGTGGCTTGACCGATAGCAGCCGTAGTCATTCTCACTCCGGAGTTTATCCAATTAGACTTTAACTAAAAATACGCCAATGTACATAAGATCTCATCTTGTTTCAATATGAAAGGCATTTGTCTTCCTTGAGGGTTTAAGTTTAGTGGTATTAATATGTGTACTATACCATATCAGCTTTAATATCAGATAATGCTAAATAAATAATTCGGTTTTGATGAAGGTGTACTCTTACGAGGACGTCAAGTGTTTTCACCGCATTTAAGTTAGTTGACGGTTACTGCTTTAACAGCGTTATTTTCAGTTCCAAACATTTCAGTAGCCTTGCTTACGACATGCTCGCTTGCTGAGATCTTCAGTTTTTCCGAACTCATGATTAGTGGGAGGCGGCTTGCAGTACTCTCTTTAGAATCTCAAAACCACCCACATAAAATACTATTTGAAGATATTTCATAGTGAGAATTTTTTGACGGAGAACCCTCTGAAAGATATCACTTCATGAAAAATTTTTCACTTTCGCCCTCGCATTAAACTGAGAGCCTATCTCTTATGGATCAATAAATAATTAATTGAGACTCTGCAACTGTCTTGTTATTATTAAAAGCTAACGTCGGTGATTGAAAAATATTTATGGGCTTGTGTAGTCTCCCGACTAACATCCAAAATTATAGAAAATAAAAAAATTGTGTGATTTTTTAATTGTCATCGCCCCACAGCTGTGAATGTCAACACCTCCGAGGGTAGGTGTCTCACTGGTTGAAAAAATCCTCAAGGCGCACGACATATATTGGAGCACGAGCTCGTCCGAAAATCATTTCAGCTTTATTTTATATAAATTACTATATTTTTCGCAGACACAAATTGGAGAAAAAGTAATTAAAAATAATATTTTCATTAATCACTTTACAATCTCTTGTTTCCATAGCAAAACCGTTAATACTGAAGAACAAATACTTTTGCACGTTTTCTTCAGCGATTTAATGGCTAAGCGTTATCGAAAAGATGTATTTCAAGATTGGCTCTCATCGTTAGGTAATCACAAATAATTATTAATGAAAGGTATTGTAAGATATAATTAAATATTTTTTATTAAAAAACTCGAATTTATTAGTTATTTTAACTAAGTTTCTATTATGGCCCACAAAATAATATAAATAATAAAAATAATAATAATAAAATATGTGCATTATATGCATTAAGTTATGATAGCAAATTTATTAATCAAAAGTTGTTTTCCTTTATTCCAGCATCTTTTGGTGGCTTGCTGGGTTTGATAATGGGATTTAGCATAGTGACCGCTTTCGAATTTATATACTTTTTCACATTCAGACCTATCTTTAATTATTTTAATGATAGCTAAAATGTTAATTAATATGAATTTATAATGTGTTTAAGTATTAAGCTTTAAAAAATAGATATTGTAAATTTAAAAAGAATTGATGTAATTGCTTCTACTTTTCGTAATAAATGTGCTTAACAAAAAATAAATTGCGCAGAAGATATGTTTTTAAATTATTTTTAAAGAAATTATGTTCAAAGATTTCAATTTGACATAAGAAATAAGTTCAACTATTCAGTTACAAGAAATTAGTATTTACAAAAAAATATTATTTTATATTTCAATTATTTTTGTTTATTTATATTATTTCATTTGACAGAATTATATTCCATTTGAATTTATATTATTTAATCTCATATTATTTTATTTTAGCTTTTTTATTTTATTTTCTTCCATTTTATTTTATTATTTTATTTTAAATTATTAATCACTTTACTTAATTTTATTTTATTTTATTTTATTTTATTTTATTTTATTTTATTTTATTTTATTTTATTTTATTTTATTTTATTTTATTTTATTTTATTTTATTTTAATTTATTTTATTTAATAGTTATTATTAATTTAATAATATAATAATATAAAATATTTAATTTTTTTATTTAATTTTATTTTATTTTATTTAATTTAATTTAATTTTTTTTTTATTTTATTTTTTTTTTATGATTTTTTTATTTTAGATTATTTTTGTTTATTTTTTATCTGTTTTATTATATATTATTTTATTTTAAATTATATTATTTTAATTTATATTTATTTATTTCATGTTATTTTGTTTTATGCTATTTTACTTTATTTTGTATTGATTTCTTTTAATTTAGTTGATTTTATTTTTTCTTTTACATTTTTTTTTATTTTCCTTTTAGGTCTTAAATTGTTCAGTATATACATGCATACATATTATATTTGTATGTATGGTATATATCTATGAATTCATATAGATTAGAGCCATTAATTTCTTATGAGACTGTCAAGTCTGAAGCCACCAATTTGTCAATCATATTGCTTCATACGTAATTGTAATTAGTATCTAGTGATTCCAAAAACCACTGAATGACAAGCAATGCCACCAAGGAAAAAGCTTAAAGACCTTCAGTCAATTGTTTTCTGAAACTTTGAATGACAGCATAAGGAATTTCATTAAAAGGGAAATGACTAAAACTGAAATACGCTGGTTAAGAAAAATTTACAATAAACTTGCACGAGAATTCTTAATGGAAAGCGGCGTACATGGCCTGAAAATATTTCTGTCCACTTCACCGGTACACTGTGCAAAGTGGGTATATTTTACGAAATCATGCAATTTAGTACATATGAGCAGCATTTAATTAAAAATATTAATTGCTTACTAACTTAGATGGCATGTAGTAAAAAGTTTAGAAAATATTTAAAAAAAAAACCATTAATATTATATTTGTTTGTCCTTCTAATTCGTTGCAGGTATCTGTGGTTTATCTTTCTTACCAGCATTATTGTCGTTACACACGTAATTATAGTCAATTTATATCTGAAATATTTGGATCAACCAACTGAAGTGCGTCTGTCCACTAAACTGGTGCATGTTGCAAATAGTCCATTTCCCGCCGTCGCTATTTGTAGCGCAAATAAGATAAGTCGACAGAAATTGATGAGATATGCCGCAACGGTGTAAGTGCAATATTCACAAATGACATATACTCGTACATATGTATCTTGAGATATATACATAGGTATAAGATAAGTGCATATATATGTATATAAACAATTATAAAAACAAAGATTATATTATGATATAGACATCTATGTGCCTGTATTATATTCACTATAGGCAGTGCTCACAATGACGAGTTAACTCACACCCGAGAGTTAACTATCGAATTTTTATATTTTATTAGCGAATTAAACTCCAGCTAATTGAATGTGAAAGTCAATGAAGAAATGAAATGAAGAAAGGGATTATTGATGGTTATTATTGCATATTTTTTTATTTCATGTCTTATATATATTAGGTGTAGTAAAAAGTTCGTTCGGTTTTTATCTAACGGATAGTGTTATTGTCCATAGTACTAGTGTACTACAAGTCATACTATGCGGCGCTGAAAACGTGTTTATTCGCGCTTAAAGTTTGTCTTTGTCAGTTTTTCGATTGATTGGCTCAGTACGTTGTGAGCGCTCGTCAAAGATGTACACCAGAAAAGAGGGAATTGGCTAAATTTTCCAATTTTTCTTTAATCAAGGCGAAAGAGCAGCCAAAGCGGCTGAAAAAAATTAATTTAGTTTATGGGACCGATACTGTAAACGAACGTGTAGCACAAAAGTGGTTTGCTAGGTTCCGTTCCGGTACCTTCGATGTCGAAGATGCCTATGGCCAAACCCTCAATTTGGCCCTCTTCTGCTAGCAACTGGTCCGCTTAAAGGCAGCACTCATCCAGAAAAGGCCATCTTTGATCAACAGAGGCCGAATTGCGTTCCATCAGGACAACGCCAGGCCACACACGTCTTTGGTGACGAGCCAGAAGCTCCAGGAGCTCGGATGGGAGGTCCTAATGCACCCACCTCATAGTCCGGATTACTATCTTTTCCTATCCATGGCGAACGCGCTTAATGGTGAGAAGTTGGCCTCAAGAGAGGCCTGTGAAAATTGTTTCTCCGAGTTTTTTGCCAATAGGTACGCATTTTTCTACGAGAGGGGTATAATGAAGTTGACATCTTGTTGGTAACAATTTTGCGAAAAAATGTACACAAAGTTATCAAATTTTGAAAAATCAACAAAAAAAAAACCGAACGAACTTTTTACTTGGCCTCTTACAAGAGAGGTTGACAATTTCTGCCGGTGGAAAATTCCTACCGGTGGACAACTCCTGCCGGTGCACGACGGTAATCAGAATTTTTTTTATATAAATTATATAAATTAATTGGATTTCCGAGCGACAGTACGAAATGTTAGCCGGTTGGATATAGCGTACGCCATGTCATGCTTCTCTCACAGGGAAACTCGTATATTTATGATTTGATTTATTTCTCAAATTTACCGTATCTTAAGTCCCAAGGTTGTAGGGTGGAGATCTGATAAGTCCAGTATATGTGTGTATAATACGGAATTTCGTGCTGTCAGAAGGTTTTTTTTTTTACCTGAAGCCTCATACTGAACAAATCGCTTGTAGGAGCCATACGATATAATCGTCCGACTTCAATGATTTTCAGCACCAATATGCAATTTATTATATGTGTGTAATGAACTTAGATGTTTTATTGAAATATATAATATATGACCCAAAATCTCATATCTGAAAAAATCGAATAACTGGGATCCGCCCGATCTGGCCAGCTCGCAATACTGGTAAAATCCTTATAAATTTTAAAAGTTTTTACAATTCTTCTTCTGGTACTTTCATAATTCAGATCAAAGTTAATATATCATTTAATGTTCTTTAATATAATATATTATTTCGCCTTTTGGCATGTGGAATTTCTGCCGCAGATACTCAAAAGTCGATCCACCTCTATTTAATGCCATGACGAGATTAACCAAAATGCCCAATTTGTAAGTGTTGTAACCTTTAGGCCGTCACAGTTTTGCCATTTTATAGATATCAGCAGTTATTTCATGATGTCGTGTGACGAATAAAAGGTTGAGTAATGCAAGCTCAACGCTGAGATGTCTTTAATCAAGTCCTCTGACGTTTGGTTTATATTGCAGAAAAATAATTATTCCGTTTGTCAAAAAAAAGGTACCAAGGCTTTGTCCCTTACAATGCTATAATACTGATCCTGACAATTTTGCTTTAGTTTCTGGCAGTTCTAATATAGATCTCTCACAGTATAGTTCGATCGCTGTTTTCTATTCATATTACAGGCCTTACATAGGTGGTTTCTTCTTAGTTATTCCTGTGCCTGAGCACCCAAGGCGAGGTCTTATGAAAAAAACGGCAATTATTAATATTTTGCCAACGAAATAAAGTTGATTGTAGTTCTAACCAATGGACTATTAGACTTCCTCTGGGACGCAAAAGTCACTTCATCACAGACATAACAGATATAATCCGGACCGTTTTCACACACCGTACGAGGTATCTTATGCGAATACCGCCTGGCAACTGACACGCCTTTCACATCATTATTATTATTGGCGCTTTGAAACTGTGGAAGCGATTTTCGGTCGGGCTTCTCCTCCAAATTGTGGTTTTTGTTTCTTAATTTTTTTGCAACAAATGTTGGGACCTACAGTTTATACTAAGTCGCCTCCGGTTGATGGGTTTTTATAAAGACCTTTTTCTTAATGGCAGAACTACACTGAGCGAGCGACTGTAATTAGAGAAATTAATTTATTTTTGTATTTAAATAAATTTTCTTTAACTTTTAGATGTTGGTCGTATCAGAGCACGAACCCTTACCTTCAGAACGACAGTCTGAAGTGCTAACCACTCGGCTAGGGGCGCTACTATATGGCTGTACCACATAAATTTTTGTTCTTGCAGATCCCACATGGCGCACGCAGCGTAATTCTGTCATACACTACCGTGAACTATCTTTAGACATATTTCATGGGTAAACATAAAATTGTGGTCGATTAAAACATAAATTATAAATTTAAGCGATTAGAAATAGGTATTTTTTTTTCTGTTATCATATGAAATAATAATTTACACATAGATCTTCTCTTGTCTTGCCTCCGTCTACTTACCTGTCTTATCGTGAGCATTCTTATCAAAATGAAACCAATTTATAGTAGTTTTATAAGACTATAAATCGCTTTTGAAGCGCTTACATATATTCTTATTTGTCAAAACCAACAAAAAAAAAGATTACAAAAACCCATTATTTTTCTTTTCCCCCATTCATTTAGGTGAACCTTTATAAATAAAAATAATTTTTAAAATAACCCAGCGACTTAACCTCACCCACCATAGCCACCAAGCCGTCCAAGAGTTCCGCAGCAGTTGGTTGAATTTGATCGGCAGGTAATTCCATGCCATTGCCATTGAAACTGCCATTCGGCCGCAACTCAAAGCAGAAGGCCATGCGTATGCCCAACTTTGTGTAGGCAAAGTCCACACTTGAACCGGCAGCCGGGTAAATGGCATCGTAAATATTGCCGCCAGTGTAGACAGTTTCATAGCGCTTATTTAACGCCTTCACTGTGACATTGTAAACCTGTTCGAAGTCTTTAACGTTATCGGGCAATTGATTGGTATGCCCATAGGGATAAAGTAAATATTGTGAGAAAGAATGCAAAGAGATGTACAATTGAATGTTATCCTTCAACGCGGTGATATAGTTGGATAGAGATTTCACTTCGATTTCTGAATTCGCTGCACTTCCCGCGTATATATTGGAACACGGTTCACTGCTAGTGCCCACTGTATTCCAGAAAACATTCCAATTGCGATTGGGATCCGCACCATAGCAAGTGCCGTGTGGCTGACGGGTTTTGCGCCACATGCGATCTGTTGTATGTGTGTAGACATAACCGTCGGGATTGGCATGTGGAAAGACATACCAATCGTAATTCTGTGCGATTTCTTTCACTTCCTCATCACTGCTAGTCAGAAGTTCATTAATCACATAGGTCGCTGTAGCCGGCGCAATCCATTCGCGTGCATGTATACCAGCTTCTAGGAAAATACCCGGTTTTTGTTTTGAGCCATTGTTATATGAGATTTTTACACCCAAAATTGAACGCTTCTCGTAGGATTTACCACCTTCAATGACTGTCACTACACCTGGGTAGGATCGTGCTAAGCCGACGAGCCAATTATAGTTGGAGTCCAATGTTTGATATTTCCGCCAACGGTTTAGAATTGCACGACCCGTTGCTACTTGTTCATAATCCTTATCTATAGCTTTCTGTACATTTTCCTCCAACAACTCATAGGTAATTTCGTTTTCGTTTAATGCCGATAGAAAATCGGTTAGCTTATGTGGCGCGACTACTATATTTATAGGCTTCTCGATCTTGTGTACTTCGTCCAAATAATGCAATGAATTATTGGTTTCCTCCATTTTTCTAAGGATTTTCAATCCATTAAGAGTCGTTGCCTTTACTTTATACACCCGATAATTGTCATAACGTACACGTTCGCCGTTACACAACAACACTGCCGTTGTTAGGCACAATATCAAAAATAGACCGGTTTTCAGCGACATCATGCTACTTCGCACAGCTCGATAACGCACTCGCAAATATTTTTGTTTTAATTCAATGTCCGGCATTTATAGAGTTCAAAGACGAGATAAGCCATGCGATAAACTATCAAGTACTATCGAGGTTTATTTGCCTTAACTCGATCCAGTTTCGATTTTCGCCATTACTTCAATGAGCTTTCTAAACCATGTACGTCTGATATGCCAATTTTATGGCCCAGATAATCTACACATTGTGTGTAAACTAATTAAAGTTATTATTTATGGTGAATGACGTCTTGCAGACGAAACTTAATTGCTCAGTACGACTAAAATATTTTCACACACATTTTTAGAGATTCTAATAACTATGAAAGGAAACCCCAAAGTTTTTATTTTGAGAATAAAGAAATACTGTTACGTGCATAACTTGGGGGAAAAAATAACGGTTTCATATCATTTACATACGTGAAATGTTATTTTAACTTGAACTACGGTCCGAAGTATGTAAGTAGCCGAAGAAGAACAGATAGACCCAAAAAAAAATTATACCGATCGGATTATAATGCCGAGTCGAGTTGACTTAGCCATGTTTTCGAAATATTTTTACCAAATTTTATAATAATAATATTAATAATGGAAAATAATAGCAGCTAAATGGCCGCCAGGGCTACGCTTACGGGGCCGTATCCTTTTGATGAAATTCTCCATCACCAAATCGCAAAGTGGCTGCTGTATGCTCTCAATAGCTTCATGAATTCCATATTTGCGGTCTTCAATCCCCTTTGACCTATTGGCATCGCCCTTATATTTCACGTGACCACAAAGGAATCAGCCTTCTTTGTATTTTTTATTGAAGTTGGCACCGCGATTATAACCGAATCAATAATAGCGCTCCGGGTCCTTCTCTACCTGATCTGTCCAACGGAATTGAGGTCTTCCTCTTCATCTGCGTAGCTGTTCCCTGGAAGACTCCCACGGCGACTCATCGGATGTCCATCGTCGACGCTTCTGTGCCATTTAACAGGATGGATATATTGTAGAGTTTGATTTTTGTTATTGCTGGTTCCGAGATTGTTTACGACCCCTCGAAGTTATGACTGTCACCATTGACTTGGGAGCAGAGTCGCGTGTGCGATGGCTGTTTGTTTGATGACAAGAGATATTTCGTCTTGTCCTCGTTCACTACCATATCTATTCGTTTTGCTTCTTTATCAAGTCTGAAGAAAGCAGAACTAACGGCGCGTTTGTTATCGATATCATCGGTAAAAGTCAGTAGATGTGCAAGATTGTACCTTGTCTAATTAGCCCTGAAACACAAATTGAAGTAATCGCACGATAAGGAGTCATCATTTTTGCAACATCGTTTGGTACCGAACGGACAGATCGTTCCTATTTCTGACTTCCCCTTTTGTGTTATCCCAGCGGAGATACCAAATTAAGACATATCGTCTTAAAGACAGCTCTTTACTGTGCAGGTGCTAAATCTCAAAATCTCGGAGATCCATTGCGATCTCCTTTTCGAGATGTAACACGATCCAAAAACTTTTCTCTTAAAATATCGATGGTTTCGTTGCTTGTGTGGCACGTAACGCCGTCTTATTGAAAGTAAAAGATGTCCAGATCAGTACGATCTTATTGCGGCCATTAAAAATCGAAAACGCAACCCGTTCTTGTACGAAAAAATAAGGTCCAATTAACACGCCAAACAATTACACGTTGAGGATGTAGAGACTTTTCAACAAATAAATCTTGAGTTTTCTGCGTCCCAGATGCGATTATTTTGCTTTTTGACGTAGCCCTCGTCGTGGGAATGGGCCTCATCGGTCTACATGGTTATTTATTCAAGGTCTCCATCAGCAAAGAAACGATGGTGTCGATGATCGGGCGGTTTAAGTTTTTGTGTTAACTGAACTTTATAAGCCTTAAGACCAATTCGTCAAGCAAAATATGGTGTAAGGACGTTTGTGGAATTACCAATTCTAGAGAACGACGAGGAATGGACAAACCTGGGCTTCCTTTAAGACTTTTAGCTGCAGCGACATCAAGAAAATCGCTGCGCAATACTCTCTTAATTCAAAAGCTTATTTCCGTATTTAATTGGTTATGCGAAGGAGCCTCAGAAGGACAAGAAGTTAGGAAGCTTAAGTAATCAAGTAACTCAAATCAAAATTTCCTTATAACCTCCAGGATTTTCTCAGTTTTTCCACGCCCAGTATTTTTGTTTAATATTTCAATTAAAGACCTGTCTCCGTTTTCTTCGATCAATGCCCAGACTGCACGTCTACCATCTGCTGTTAGCACTTCTTGTGAAGGCTAGGCTTAACAGATACTTTGCAGAGGAAAGAGGTAGGAGAGGAGACATATGCTGGGCTTACCGTTTCCTTTCTGGCCAGATCGTTTGGTCACGCAGTTCTCTATTACCAGGGAACCAAACTAGGGACGTTGCCCATACAGTCGAGAGTTGATGTTGTATAATACATTTGGGCTGGAGAGACTGAATGGTTGGGTTATGGTATTAGAATTAAGCGTCTTCTGTTATCGCAGTTAGCAAGAGATTTAAAGTGCGCTCGAGGTAAGAGCCGACGGTTAAGGAGGCTATGGATCTCTGGGTTTTTGATGAAAAAAGTTGTTATCGAAACAAAAGACGGAAGTAGTGTCGTCCACCTCTGCCGGGAATGGTGTAGAATTGATTCAGCAAGTTTAATATTGCATGGTCAATGATTTAAAACTACTCGGATTTGCTTTAATAATTTTATTAAGTATTACATATTCATATATTTCATGAATACATTTGATATTAAGATACAGATATAAAAATATATTCGATTGCTTAGATGTGTGTGTGTCAGCTCTGTTCGGTGAGAACAGAAAGTTGTACGTTCTCGGTGCACATTTTACTGCCTTCTTGCCTCACCGAACGCGAGTCCGTAAAAATTGGTAAAAATTGGTAAAAATTCTTATTGCCCATCATTAAATATGACTTAAATTTTTAACAGTTATTTAAAATAAATCCATATATAAATAATTAAATAAATAAAAGAAAGGGCATTTGTTTTCAAGCAAACAAAGCATCAATCTCTTTGATCATCGCCAACATGGAATCCATGATCTCCTCGCCAGTTGGTATAATTTGATTAGCCGGTAAACGGAAACCACTCCACAATGCAGAACCCGACGGACGCAATTCAAAACAGTAGGAGTAGGGCACTTCCATCTTTCCATAAGCCCAATCCAAGCTAGCCCCAGCAGCCGGATATATAGCATCATAAACATTACCACCTATATATCTGGTACCATAACGCTTGGACACTGCTGCAACGGCAACATCAAAGACGCGCTTCAAGTTCTTATAGTTTGACGGCAATTCACTGGTGTGACCGTAAGGGAAGAGCAAAAGTTGTGAGTATGAATGGAATGACAAATATAAAAACAATTTCCCCTTCAACGTGCTTATATATTCGGCGAGTGTGCGTGTTTCGATTTCTGAGAAAGCCGCAGGCCCAGCATAAGTGTCCGAACAGGGATTGCTGCTCGAGCCAACCTCATTCCAATGGAAATCCCAATTACGATTTGGATCTGCGCCAAAGCAATTGCCATACGGTGTGCGCGTTTTACGCCACAAACGGTTGGTGGTGTGGGTGTACACAAAGCCATCGGGATTACTATGTGGCACCACATACCAAACATAACGTTCAGCCACCTTACGTACATCCTTATTGGTGTTTGTAAGCAATTCATTGATTATATAGGTTGTGGTAGCCGGACTAATCCATTCGCGTGCGTGCATGCCACCTTCAATAAAAATACCACGCTTTGCTGTTGCGCCAACAACTTCGTCATCAGTGATTGTATTATAAGCGATCTTAACGCCTAATATCTCACGACCCTCATAAGACTTGCCCGCCACAAATAAACTCACTTGCTCCGGATACTTTTCCGCCAGCGAGCGTAACCAAGCATACGTGTCGTCTAGCTCATGATACTCCCGCCAAGTGTAATCACCACTACGTCTATTTGGATCGGCTACAAGTTCTGTCTCCACATCCAGACTCTTCTGTGCATCCGCCTCGAGTAATTTATGCGCAATACCAGTGCGGTCTTGCAAAGCCAAGAAATCATCAACACGATGTGGCGCGACGAGTACGTGGATTTTAGTATTCAACGAGTGTACACCATTCAAGAATATCAACGCGTCACTAGATCCATCAAGTGTGTTGATAACGGCCAATTGTGCTGGCGTCTTCGCTTCCAACTGATAGACGCGGTAATTATCATAACGTACACGCTCTGCGGTCGCGAACTTGACGATTGTTAGTAAACCGACTAAAACGAGTATACACCGAGCGATTTGTTGCCACATGTTGCGTGCGTTGTGGGTGACTGATCGTTTTCGCCAATGGACTGCGCTATTTTATAGTTGTAGCAACTCGAGCTCCACAGGGTGCGCAAACGCAGCCGCAGCAATGGGTTTGATAACGTTGGAAAGTTGCGGGCAGCTTCGTGCAATGAGAATTAGAGATATACGTACGAGTATGTATGTATTATGTTTATAGTACACGTTTAGTTGAAACAAATAGCTTTGGTGTCAATAGCGATTAGAATTAGATATTCATGTAAACTCACATTGAGTCCATTAGGGGTGTTCTTATTTGCAAAAATATTAAGTTTCCGCAATTGTTCATGCAGCACATCCACCGGAGGCGGACGAATATTGTCGAATATCTAAGAAAAATTAAGTTGAGCCGTGCAGGAGGGCAGGAGGGTAACATATAAGGCAAGACCAACTAGGATCCTGACAGTAAGATTTTTTAATTTATCTGATTTCCCAGCAAGACAATTATGCTTTCTGTCAAGAATCATCTGACTCAAATCTCTGTTACTTTGGGGAGCATAAATGCCACGGAATTTGCCACAGTTAAGGCTGAGACATTGTACGTCTAAACTTCACGAAATAGCACTTGTGGTGAGTCCCTCCGTGGGCTCATGTCCGCCCGATCCTGTAGATTTTTCTCTACAAAAAACATTGGTACACGTTTGGCAATGAGAAAGCTTATCCTCTAGAAATTTAGCTCTGAGCAGACCGCGTAAAGGAGGTATTAGGTATCACTATAAATATTCTTTTAAAAGATTCTCATGGGATCACATGCAGAAAGGCTAGAAGCTACTTACAGTACATACTATAGAATTTGCAGCATTATGATGAGAAGGAAGCGATAACTCAACTTTTATGTGGTTGCCCTGCTTTGAGCTGCTTTGGGCAGATTTCGAAATTTTAGGACCATACTAAGAAATATCTGATTAAAAGTGGTTCAATAGGGAGTCTTTTTGGCCAGAAAAATGTGGCGCAAGCCAATCTAACCTAATCCATCACGAAATTTTTAATACTCGAGCAGTTGGGCCATGGAGCAAAAAACTCTAAAGACCCCAGTAATAATTTTCTATGCAAAACAAAAATTTTTGAAATACAATAATAATATACAGTTTGTCAAATTATTTTCGCAATATAACCGCTAAATGGATAATCCTACCTATTTCATTTATTTGTTGAATTTAAGGAAGCTCAGTTTTTGAAAGCTCAGTTATATAAAGCTCACCTTGTTTTGGCCTCTTCTTTTAAGCTTGTATAAAAATTGTCCGCATTTAAAATAATATTTTCATGAAATACAAGAATATTACAACGTTTGAATCTTGGCATTATTTATATGCGAAGGACTACAAACTTCGATCCATCTGAGGTAATTTACGAACACTTTTCCACACATAGTGGACGGTATCTCAGCCATACAAGGTTTATCCATATAACACGTAGCCTCACAAAGAATGTTCCACAGTGTCAAATCGCACGATCTCTGTGGCCGATTGACATCGCCGAGACGAGAGATTACGCGGCTACAAAATTTCTCTCGCAATAAACCCACATTCGCTCGTGTTGTGTGGCATGTGTCACCATCTAGTTGCTTAAGTCGTGTACTTCAATTTCAGGCCGAAAAAAGTCGAATATCATACGACCATAATGCTCCGAGTTAACAGTGACAATCTCGCCGTTCTTAAGGTCCGAAAACCAAAGAGCGCACCAGATAGGAATTATTATTATTTTTTTTTAGTGTAATGGTCTCTCTTCAATTATTTGAGGATCTTTGGAGCCCCAAGAGCGACAGCAATGGCTGTAGGCAAAATTCAAAGTGTAATATATGTCATAATGCGCCTTAAGAAGGTCTCAGATCTTGAGAATGTCGCTATTTGGTTTCTAGATCGTACTTATAGAACCAAGATTCCTCACTAGTAACAACTTTACTAAAGTTACAAGACTGACCATTTTCGACTTTGTTTAGGAAAAATTGGGCGAAATGCACTCGAGCCATTTTTTTTTTGGCCCTAATTTAAAATTCGTGATTCCCATCGAGCAGATTTCTGCGTGTATCATTATTTAGTATACGCGCTACAGTCATGGCATTCTAGCCCAATTCATTAGCAATCATTTCTTGTGTCAATCGTGGGTCTTCGTCAATTTTGGACTTCCTCAGAGCTATAGTGACGCCATCAGTGGAAAAATGTCCGGTCTGCAATCTTACTTAGAAATAGTCTTTAAAGACGGTGCAATCATGCCATATGAAATTAGGCATTCACTGAATATTTGTATTGGCTGTAAATTACGCCGAAACATGGCGAATTTCTGTTTGCGTTAGAAGTGGAATCTCATCTGATCTATCCTCAGCTATATTGAGTATTATTAAAATGAAGATTAGACATTTTACCCCCTCGTTCTCAAATTTAAAAGAAAGACTAGTAAGTAATAAAGTAATTGCAGAGCCTTGGCTATTTTTAGATTTAACAAAAACAAGTAGAAATTCACAACTGACCGAACTTTTGTTAATCCCCTTGAAGGTGCACTGCCATGAAGGTAAGTTTACCAAAGTCCATTATTTAATCAAATGTTTGTTCCAAAATGAAGTAAACCAATCATTTTTTTAAGTGTAATAATTTTCTCATATTCATAGGAGCAAAGATTATCATCAAGATTAATCTATAAATTTAAGACTAGGACTACATTTGTTTAAAACTCTTCAAAACTCCTTCATGTGCTTTACAGCTACGAAGCTCAGCAAAAGCTTCAACCTGGTCTACTCGCCAATAATGTGAACGAAATGGCGGAGCACATAAAACTGCTAACCGGCTTCTTTCTATATCCTTCTGATATATACAGCGACGAAGATGTCCGGCTTAGCCAGCTGCACAATATACTCACGAGCATGTACAACGGCAGTGATTATCCAACACGAGAAATACTCTTCAGTTTAGCGCCAGATTGTGAGGAGCTCATCATACGTGGCTTGGTATTTGGTAAATTCGTAAATGTAACACGGTATTTTGAGAAACGTACAATATCTGTGGGCGCATGTTGCCTCTTCAATTATCAACGTGATACTTACTCAACCAATAGGTAAAAAGCTTGGCATTTTTTCCATTTTTTTTATTGTATTTTCTTCTATTACTCGTTGGTAGTACTCGCGCCACTTTTGTTAAAGAGAATGTACGCAACTTAGAGAATGTTACGTTCGAATCAAATTCCATACTGAACTCCATACAATTCGTCTTACAAAGTGATCCGAGTGATTTTGCGCATACTGAATTCGCCAGCTATGCATTTCGCGTAAGTAACTAGTTATGTGAGTAGTTACAAAGTTGTCAATAAAATAATATTCTCTTTCTTTCTCTGTAACTTATTTTAGGTTTATTTATTTCCGAGAAGGGATTATCCCACCATAATGACTAGTGCAATGGGTCAGATTTTAATAAATACTCGATCTATAGTGGAAATACCAGTTCAGCCGACATTTTACGAAGCCACAAGATCTATACGAGACTTTTCGCCGGCGGTGAGGGAATGTTATTTTAAAGATGAGGGACGGCGCGCATTAAATAAGTGAGTATGAGACAGTTAGTCGAATACTGGGCAATTCAAAACCCAGCTTTTAGTTGAAGCTTCAGAAGATATACCTGCGTTGATGACCGTTCTCCATAGGAGATTGAAAACTTATTTCTCCTAATCTACTTATGGTTATCTGAATTCCTTCTAGCTTCACCTCCGAATATTTTGATCTTGTCACTTTCTCCAATTTTCGTTCGATTATCAGTTATTGCATTTAAACGAAAATAAATATGGGTTGATTACAGAAAAGGATGCCTCCGGTCTCGAGGATTTAAAGTAAGACCGAATAAGTAACTTCCTTATGCAAATAGAGGTATAACTGGATATTATTCAGCACCTCTACGAAGTAGGTCCGCTGAAGCGATTTTAAACCGATGTTTTCCCAACTAATTAAGGGATCTATAGATGGACCACAAGTAATATCTTTGAACGCTGAACTCAATTGCAAAGGACTTCTAGCCCATGGCAAACCTCTGGGGTTTGGAACATTTCTCACTCGCTAAACCACACCTCTTGCACGAGTCTTGACCAAACACTGTTCGATGTGTACCACAGCGAGCTAATGGAGAAGATCATTTTCAACTGCTAATCGAATATAAAGAAAGCATATTACCATAAGATGGACTTTGGAATAACTTTCAATATTGGGATCGTCCACCACTCTGCCTGGTGCCGGGCCCACTTTAGTTTTATTCCTTTGAAAATTTAAATGAAAAAAGTTTAAGTGCAATGTGCTCAACCAGGCGACCGTGGTTCTTTGTTTTGCAAGAACATTGTAAAATGGGGGGAGCCTATCGTTTTTTAAGCCTGCTCTGAATGGCTCTTGTATATCTTGTTATACAACTGAAGGAGTTGACATTTCTTGTGAGAGACGATCGCAATTAGAAATAAATTTACAACATTATTTTGGCTCTTGGTCTGACCCTTGTCGTTGTATCTGAGAGTGGCAGCCTCTCGGATACTGCAGCCGCCCTCTTTAAAAGCATAAAGTTATTATGCGGTGCAGATGATTGATAGCTTAGCTAATGGTTTCATCCTGGATGACCTTACGTCGACTAGAACGTTCTGCTACTACCCGATTGAAACACTTGTTCTTCCTTTTGATTTGGTTAGCCAACGAAGGAAGCATTAAAAACGTTCCGAACAAACCGTCTCTCAATAACTCCTAGAGTAGACTTATCAGAAGTTGTCATCGTCCAAGTACATAGCAGGAGGAGAACGATGAGCCACTTGTGCAGTTTGGCCTTTGTTGGTCTAGAGAGGGCTTTACTTTTCAATTGTATACTCTAACGAAGAGCCTGTTGGATTTCCAGGCTGTCTCGTGGGAGCCAAGGCTTGATTGAGGCCAATAATGTCAATATCATGGGAATATGCCAAGCAGTTGTGCTTTTGTCTGTTTTGATTCGAGTTCGAGAAACTTTCAAAGACGTCTTAACAATTTTTCGAGTTACCCGCTTTAAAAAATATATCGTTCTTCAATTTTAGAACCTATTACTCGCTCAATGAATGTCTACTAATCTGTCGCATGCAGAGTATGCAGCGTTATTGTGGTTGTGTCAGTCCTCTACTCGCACCACCGCTCATAAATGCCAGTATATGCACCTTAATACAATTGCCCTGCCTAACACATTGGATGCGTGTCTTCAATCAATGGACCTACTTTGAATACGTTGAGCAGACCCATGCACCCGACAAGTGCCAGCAATGTATACCAACCTGTAGTGGCGTTGACTATACATTTTACTCAAATACCTTGCCTCTACGTGGAGCCACGGCCGATAATCCTTATTCGTATGGTTTGTTGTAAGTAACGCATGTAATTTATGGCAAACTTGTAGGGACTACTCACAAAGGTTGTCTATGTCTTCTACGTTTTATATATATTTTTTATTATTTTGGAATAATAGAAAAGACCTTAACAGCGTGAAGCCCTTGGCTCTGGTGAAATTGTACTTCAAGCAAAGGTATGCGGAATCGACAAATGTAGATGTTGTAGGCGATTGGGTGAACCTGTTGAGTGAGTGTAACAATATTTATATATGTATGGATATACATTCTTCATTCACTTACTTTAGGTCGTTTTGGTGGCATTCTATCGCTTTTCTACGGCTTTAGCATCTTAAGTTATGTTGAAGTTTTCTATTTCCTCAGTGGCAAATGGTTTGTGCTGTTTTACAAATCACGTCAGCGGAGGGATATTGGGAAGAAGAAGAACCAGCTGTCAGATAAACAACCGATATATTCGTTATATTGGCGCGAGTTGCAGCCCACATCCGCCAAATTCAAAACTTATCCCAACAATATTGTCTGGCAAAAGCGTCCATGGTAGATGTAAATGATACTAGTTTATGTACATACATACGTGTATATAAAATATGATGAAGAATAAATTTCAAAAAAAACTTGATTTTTTTGCAAAACCTTTTTCACGTGCAATTTTCACAGATAAATAAATTTTTATTGCATTTAGCTTGCAGTATTGCCACCCCTAAAAGATGGGCAAGGATATTGACTTAATAATAACAACCCCTCAATCACACCTACACCCCAACAGATGACGCTGAAATAGATGTTTCATTGCGCGACTATGAAAAAGTTCGAATAGCACTAGCCCCCTTGAAAAACCACAAGCCGGCGGGCCGATGGTCTGCCAAATGGTTCATAGCTGACGATTGAAACCTAAGTATACTCTGGAACCTAAGTATACTCTGCTCAATCTACAAAAAGGTGTACTCCATAGTCTCCGCGAATCACTGTGGGAAGACCTTCCTCAATATCGCACATGAAATCCCATTGCGTGAAAGAGCAAAACCTACCCTCAACAAATTGACTGCACCTTATCGATGTCGCTTTAGACCTGGTAAATCAAAAACGCGCAAAATTTTGGAAAATATTCGTGAAAAGAAGATCGACACACATCACCTTTTTGTCGATTTTAAGGCAGACTTTGACAGCATGAAAAGATGCTGCCTCTACGCCGCTATGTCTGAATTAGATATTCCTACAAAAGTTATACGGCTGTGTAAGCTGGCATTAAGATCGGTAAGGGCCTCTCCGAGTCGTTCGATACCAAGCGAGGTTTCAGATTGAGGGTGACGCTGTATCGTGCGTGAGCTGCAGGGCTGAATAGATAAGGCACGATCTTCTATAAGAGTCAACAGCTACGTACGCCAGATAAAATTTACATGAGTTCTGTTTCTCCTGACTAAGACAGCGAAGCGTATGGGTCTGGTAGTGAATGAGAGCAGAAGACGAAATATCACTTGGCATAAAACAGACGCTTTCATGTTTATAGCCTTTGCTGTGGTGCAGAAACTAAAACTAAAGACCTAAAAGGGTCCATAAAAATTCATCAGCTGTAAGGAGGCGGCTTAGGTCACTCTTTTTGAAGGGAAAACATCAAGATGCACTCCACTGTTACTGGTTTTCGGTCACCGGTCTGTTGGATTTTTCGATTTCCCTCAGACGCGCACCTCGTTCCGTTGGGCGGGAGGTGAATAACGCTGGGTTCGTGGCAAAAAAAAATGGAAGGGGAGCTCGGCCAAAATAGCTTCAAAGGCGACAAAACTTCTTAAGAGAGCACAGGTGGATGAAAAGGTATCGCGATGCGGGCCAATTTCGGTCTAAGTTTGCCTGCATGTCGTTACTCCTACCAACCTACCTTCCTACCTAGCATTCTTATTGTTGGTCTTAAACGCGATTTTTAATTAAAATCTCAAAAAAATTGAAAAGTAATATTTTCGTATTTTGTGAATCTGTGAACACCCTTCTTACAAATGCATACAGTCTGGCAGCGCAAGCGACGAATACCAAGACCCGTTACATTTAAATTTTCCTCCGGTACTTAAGTAGCGTTTGAATTTACGGAAGTAAGTTTTAATATCAAAATGAAAAATTTTTTAAACTTTTTCTAGTTTAAATTTTATTTGTTTAATTTTAAATAAAAGAAAAATGCAATGCATTTGCTTGTATTAATGAACTATTTTGAGAAGCGGGCAGAAGCTAACAACCGGTTGAGGGACTTAATCGCGCAGGTAGCCCAAAATTTAATGAAAAAAGAGGAAAAGATTAAGCTGGAGAATGGTAAGTGGCTCAGAATTGTGAACTGTGAATACTGGAGTTAATATATTTATAACGGCATACTGATTGTAATCAATCTGCTCATTCTTTAACTAACTTAGAACTATTACAAGAAACTCTAACCGCCACAATGGATGCCTATGAGTTGGAATGCATATTCCGGCAACTTAAAATACAACACCAACAACAATCTGCAACGCACGAGCATATGCTTATAGCTTATAAACATTCCGTCGAATTTTGTGTAAAAGTAAATAATATTGATTGGAATATGCAGCTGCACTCTAAGTTGGAATTGTTGCAATTGAAGTGTCAAAATGAAATGCGCGAACTGAGTAAGGAATATGAAATGGAAAAGGAGCGAAGGAGGACATTGGAACAACGTCCAATTGGTAAATTTGATTATATTTTATGTTATTTTACATTTGCATTATTTAATTTCATTTTAATTTTTTATGTATTTTAATTTTTTTTACATTTTGTTTTAAATACACTTTATTATCTTCATGTTTTATTTTATTAATTTTATTTCAATTCAACTTTTTGTTTTTTTTTTTTATTTCATTTAAGTTTTATTTATATATAGGTTTATATAAATTTATTTTAATTTTCATTTGATGAATCCAAATGCCCTAAATGAAATGAAATTAAATTAATGTAAACCTAAATAAAAAGAATTAAAAGAAACTAATTTAATAATTAAAAATAAATCAGTATAAATTAAAGTGAAATAATTAAAAATTTATTAAATTTTTATTGACTTTTTTTGTTAATTTTGTTTTAAATTTTTTAATTTGTCTTGATTTATTTTATTTTACTTATATTTTATTTAATTTTGTTTTAATTTATTTTATTTTATTTTAATTTATTTTGTTTTCTTTTTAATTTTGCTTTGAATTATTATTTTATTTTATATTGCTTCATTTAACTTAATTTATTTTATTTGAATGTAATTAAATTTCATTTTACTTTAATTTATTTTTTTATGTTGTTATATTCTATTCTACTTAATTAAATTAAATTTAATTTTATTTTATTTTATACTATTTGTTTTATTTTATTTTAATTCATTTTATCTTACTTTATATTTTTATTTCATTTTATAGTTTTTTTTATTTATTTTATCTTATTTTTTTTATTGATTTAATTTTTTTTATTTAATTTTTTTCGTGCTATTTTATTTTATTTTATGTAATTTTATTTATTTTTATTTATTTTGGTTTTTTATTATGCTTTGATCTGTTTATTTAGTTTTAGTTTGTTATAGTTTACTTTATTTTAGTTTGTTTTATTTCATTTTGTTTTATTTTATTTTATTTTGTTTTAATTAATTTTATTTTACTTTATTTTTTTATTTTATTTTATAATTTTTTTATGTGTTTTATCTTATTTTTTTTAATTATCTAACTTTTTTTATTTAATTTTTTTGTTTTGTCTTATTTCGTTCAATTTAATTTTATTTTGTGTTGTTTTATTTATGTTTTTTTTTAATTTTTTTTATTTTATTTTAATTTATTTTGGTTTTTGTTATGCCTTGATCTGTTTATTTAGTTTTATTTTGTTATGGCTTAGTTTATTTTATTTTGTTTTATTTCACTTTATTTTATTTTATTTCATTTTATTTTATTTTATTTTATTTTATTTTAATATTTCTTTTTTATAATTACTTTATTTTTTATTTTATTTAATGTGTTTGGTTTTATTTTGATTATCTTATTTTATTTTAATTTATTTTATTTTAATTTATTTTGTTTTGATCTGTTTGTTTGGTTTTATTTTGTTATGTTTTTTTCATTTTATTCTATGTAATATTATTTTTTACCTTCTTTATATTCTATTTTGTTCAATATGTTATCTTCTTCGTTTTGTTTCATTTCGTATTATCGTATTTTCCTTATTTATTTATTATTTAATATATATCACTTAATTTGTTATTATTATTTTTTTTTTCATTTTATAAATATTTTTTTACTTTGTTTAATTTTTTTCTTGTATTTCATTTCATTTTACTTTATACTTTTTTATTTTATTTTATTTTATTTTATTTTTTCGTTATATATAATTTTATTTTATTTTTTGTATACTTAATTTTATATTATTACAATTTTTTATTTCTTTTTTTCATGTCATAATTTAAAATTACTACCCCGTTTTAGTTCAGGAGGCACGTGCAGCAGAAAAAGAAATAGCAAATATACAATCATTAATACACATCGCCAAAGAAAGGAGTTCGACACTTCAGGCTAAATTGCTGGAGCAACAACAATGTCTTCAAGACGAACTTAATGCTACGATACTTTTCTTAGTCACCGGAAGCGAAAAAATAAGTGAAATGAAAAGAGAGGTAACTGTAAAAAAGTAATAAAAATTATGCATATGCCAGAAGGAAAATCAAAATTACCAGACCAAAGTGACAGTCTCAAATTTAACCACCATTTGATTGTTCCTTAGATAACATATGCAGTTAAATGCATCCAAAAAGCATTTACTAATACTCATATGTATGTACATATATGTATACAATTATTTTCGGTTTTTCAGCTTGAAGCTTATGCCAATAATGCTCAAGTAAAAGAATTAGCAGCCCGTAAACAGGAATTGATATCGAAAATTCAAAAACTTAGCGCGAAGGTTGGTCGAGAATTTTCAATTCAATTTGTTTTTAACTTACCTAATTACAACTCTGCCTTACAGCTGCCCGTTTTCACCACCGGAAACGAGTTTGCACTCCGTACGGAGCAAGCCGCACCTAAACTAGACAACGTCGACAATGTCTCAGAGCTTGAAGTATTTTCCAAAATGGGAAAAACCAACAATGCTAATGACATGGGGCATAAAGAAATCAGTTTCTTGGATCTCTTCAAAGAGTGGGAATTAAAGAAACAACAACAATACCAAGAGCTAATAATAAATACGGCAAAACCGCATATTGACAACACAATAACGATACCGGCGTTAATGGCAATGAACAATTTTGAAAGTAGCGCTTTCGATATAACGCTTGATGTGGCACCAAAGTCTGCTTTACGCCGACAAGGCGAAGACAATGTTGATTTGATGGTGCCAAAGAAACGCGTACGCTTTGCAACCCCCGAAACGAAGGCTGGGGATGGGAATGAGATTGAGTTTATACCATCGAGTACTTCTTTACTTCATATTGAAGACGAACGTGCTGTCGAAAGGAAAGAGAACGGATTTTTCAGTGATACTTACGTGATTGATAGCAGCGGAATTCCGTCCTTTAATGGTGATACGGAGACGATTGAAATTCTAAGTACAGGAGATGTGGATAATAATAATAATGAGAAATCCTCCACAGAAAAAGTGTGTGTGGAAAATTATATAAAACCAGATTTTATGAAGGCAAAAAAATTGCTTAAGAAGGCCAGACTATTGGGCTCTCAAAAGCAAAACCAAATTCAGCGGATTCCCAGTTCAGTGACTAAAAAACCAAAAATAGAAATACAAGAATGTCGCATTCTCAAGCCGGCGGGAACTAAACTGCCAACTGTGAGTACATTTTTATTGTCATATTACTTTTTGAATAAATGTATCTATGTATGTATGTATGTATTTATTTCTTTTATCTTTTATGTGTCTACTTTTTCAGAAATTTCCCATTGTTATAACACCGGAACCGGAAACAACCAAAGATAATATATTCAAATCGCCACTGAAACCACAACAGAGAACAGAACAAAAACCACAAAAAGTTGATGAAACAATTTTCCAAGACTTCCTGAAGGAATCAAGTGATGACAACTCTCAAATTAGCTCCGATGCAGTAGTTTACAAAGCTGCTAAGGAAACAGATATTGATAGATATAATAACGGTGAACAATTTCAAGCGAAAGAATGTACCAAAAGTAAGAACAACAAAAATAATAAAATGGATTTTGAGAGTTTCTTTCGTGAAACTTTTCACGGTTGTAATATTGGTGAAACCGACATGGATCTATCGCCGACAGTCAACGATGTAGGTGCTACACTACAATTTGACCTGAATTTCAATGAAAATCAAAAAAGTAACTATAAAGATTTATTTGCAATACCAGGGGATACCGAAAAGGACGATGACTTGCTGTCATTTGGGTTTAGTGATTAATCAAAACAGTAGAACGGTGAAGGGAAATTTAAAAAGTTTTTAAGTTTTTTTTATTTTGTATATTTATTTGAAATGTTATAAATCTTGTTGTTATATTTGTATTCGTTTTGCCATTCATTTATATTCATTTCATTTATATTCATTTTTATTTTCAATTTTTTGTATATCGTTGCAAAAATGAATTTTCTTTAAATAAATGATTGATGATTTTCCAATTTGCAGTCTCTCATTGAAGTCTAGCAGCAATCCTATTTTGCCCCTGCGGGTTAGGGGCTCAAGAATTTACCCGCGGTAAGGCATGACTGTCGTAAGAGGCGACTAAAATCCAATAGTTCCCGAGATAGTCGGGTCTTTATACCGGAACGACCCGGATTTTTATCCGGCCAAGGACTGTCAGTCCCGCAACATTCCCCAAAAAACACTTTGGGGAATAATTTTGCGGTTACAACAACAACAGCAATAACAACAACAGCAATCCTATTTTAAGATGATGTCACGTTTCGACAGATTTCTACAAGTAATTTTGCTATGCGAAATGGTTGGTTGAACATTTACATACGCACATAGTATGTATGTAATCTGTCGGATCTTCATTTCAGGAAGGTTCTTTCTACATATGTCTGACTTCAAAATGTGTGTGTGAAAAGACTTAATTAAAAGCTTAATCAAGTAAACATTAAAAAACGCTAATGTTACTTTCGATTTGATTACAATTTCATTTTATTTACGTATGTATTTGTTTATTTTATTTTTTTTTTTTTTTTTGACAAACATGCTTTCTTTTACTTTTATATTAAATTCAATAATGTAGATATTATAAAATCGAGTACTAAGAAGCTGATATAAACATTTCTTTTTAGATTCAAAAGATCCTTACAATATCTGCACGATTTTCTATATGTATGAATGTATGTTTATGTGTACACTGCAAAAAATGTTCATTCTAATTTTGTTTAAACTTTTTTTTTGTTCATGTGAAAAATCTTAATAAATTCCAAGTCAATTCCAATTCAATAAATATAAATAGTATGAAAACAAAATAGTATCGGCGTTTTTACAACAATTTGATAGTTGCGCGCATTTATATGACTCTATAAACTATCCCAAGGTTTCTTTGAAGGCTATTTCCTCAATTGGTTCAAAGATAGCAACAGTTGTACGTGGCTGTTACCGTTTTATTCTTATCCAATCGTACTAATAATCTTCACCACGTGATACAACCTCTTTGCAGGAAGGACGCAACATAATTGTATGCTCATATTGAGCTGTGTAACAGCCTTTAATATCGCATAGTGGTGGATACGCTTCCACAACTCCCTTATCACACAGATCCTTAAGAGCCATTTGATACTTAGTAGCACCAGCGCGATCTAACCAACGTTTACAGAATGCCAACGTGCCGAAATGTTTGTTAATAGTACCGAGCAACTGTTTAGATGACTGCAAACGCAATGGTACAAATGGTGCGTCGAAATTCTTCATGTAATGCGAGCAATCCATATCGTCATGTACGAGACCACGACCGGTTGAGCCGAAAGTCTCTATGGCATAGAATTCATTTTCTTCCATACGTGTCGATTCACCACCCTTGACAATGGGCACTGTTTTGCCAGAGTGAATGCCTTAAATATAAAAGTAAATTTGTAGTTTAGTGATTATTGTATATAATAATGACCTCAGGGTTGTGAGTACTTACGATATGGACTGATGGAATGACCATTCAAATTTCTTATAGATTTAATGGGGTACGTTTTGCCATCCAATTCCAATTCATACGATTCCATAACTTCTTGTATAGCTGCGCCGACATCGCATAGACGCACATCAATGCCAGCCTCCTTGATACCAGTATTCGTGGCTTCTTTTACCGCTTGCAAAAGTTTGTCGTATTTATTGTTAAAGGTCAGTGTAAAAGCACAATCGATAATACGTCCCTTGATGTGGGTACCAAAATCGATTTTGCAAACATCATCATATTGCAAAACAGTCGTATCACCAGCATTTGGCGTGTAATGTGCAGCGCAGTGATTCAACGAACAACCTGTTGGAAATGCCAAGCCAGCCTCCAAACCATTTTCGCCAATTAAACGACGTGCTGTATTCTCCAGTTCTTCACAAATTTGTATCATGGTCATGCCAGGTTTGATATAACGTTGCATATACTGCCTAGTTTGTCTGTGTGCTTCTGCAGCTTGACGTAATTCCTGATAGATGTCATTATGCATACGATCCAATGCACGCTTTTCTTCCGATGTAAAACGATCCTTGGCCGTACGATCATCGGGAAGATCTTTGGGTGTGGGATGTTGCAAAATCTCACCTTCTGGAAATTGGCCATCGGGGAAGAGCTCCGCGATAGGTATGGTTGGTGGATCTGTTTGTCCTTTCTTATTACCTCCTTTATTTTTGTTTTTATTCTTCTTTTTTGCTGCTGCTTTTGCCTCGCCATCACCTGCATTACTTGCTGCCCCTATTTCCGGTTCGCCGTTAGTAGCAGAAGTTTCCGCATTATCGCCATCAGTGGCTTTTTTCGCTGCTGCTTCGGCTATAGTTTACGGTAACAAAACATTCATTAAGGTTAAGTGGTCTACTTTATAAAAGTCAATGCACTTTGTGTAATACGACTTACCCTGCCGCAGTTTCTTATTATTAGGTTTGGGCTTTTTTTGTTTTTTGACTTCTTCGCCAGCTGCGGTAGCGGTTTCCTCTGCTGTCGCATTTTGAATCTCTTCCTCCACAGCGACTGCAGTCTCTTCCTTTGTTACTTCCACCGACATTTTTGTGATCTAACGTGACTAATATTATATTTATTAAATGAACTTTGCACAAAATGCAGTAAAATTTTCCGTCCTTGCCGAGTGTTGCAAAAAAGGGAAGACAAAAACACGAGGCAGTTGTCAAAGAGACCGAAAAGCATGGGTAGAAAAACAGAAATGAAAACAAAACAACTGACAGCAGGACAGTGCGCAACTTTAAGTAAGTTTAAGAAAGATAATACTTGCTTGATTAATCGCTTGGGATTGAATCAGGCATATTCGGTTATTAACAGAAAATTCTATAATGAAAAATTTTACTCTTTTGTGAATGCGTAAACATAGAAAGAGGGAGACAAGTGCAAAATAAAGATTTTTAAGGTAGCAGTGAATAAAAAGGTGAGCGAGGTGCGTGCTTCTTCCCTATATATAATAATATACAGTAGTTTGGCGAATATTTCTGGAGATATGGTGAGACCAGGGGAATATGTGCGGAAATTTGAACTTGTTATATGTGGACCCAATTTAAAATAAAAAAATTTGGATATCTCAATTCCATATCCATAATTTTGAAGTTTATTCCATGTAGCCTGCAAGCATCTGATGGTATTTAAAGAGGAGCCTTTATTTGATGTTTGAAAATACATTAGGGGGGTTTGACATCCTGCAGAGGGACGACCGTGTTGGAAAACTCAATTGATTTAATTTACAGGCCTATTCTGTCGAGGTAACAAAATTTACCTAGGTATTAAAATTTACCATTCCGTAAATTTTGTTACCATTTCGTATTCTGAGCTCACTGTTGCCCTGTAAATTTTGTTACCAGCGAAATAGGAGGTAACAAAAATATCTGCTGTTTGATTTTGTGTTTTAAGTTTGAAAAAAAATAAAAAACCAAAATGGGTAGGCATATTTTAGGCATGGAACTCATTAAAGATGAAGAAAAAAGTGGAAAAAGCCGTATTTCAAGAAGTTTTCGAGACTAGAAAATAGCCCTTTAATTTGTAAGATAACGTTTTCGTTCAGCGTTTTTTTTGTTGTCCAGGCATATTTTCCATAATTAGGTTCAAATATATATGATTTAATTAACAAATTAATAAAACTTTTTAATTTTTTTGTGCACCGTCTTCCATTTCGATGTGAATGTTTTTCTTTTTACTTGGCAAATGTAATTTGGAATGGGCGAAAAAAGCAGTGCTGCCAAATTTTTTCAAACATCGTCAGAATAGCAAATTCAATTTCGGGTGTTAAAGAAAAGTAACAAAATTTACTTTACCGGTAACAGTGAAAATAGGCCTGTTAGCGTATGCTTTCCAATATGCAGCCTTCAGAGGATTTTTAACGCTTTCAGCTTCGATAATAGCTTTACTTAAAATACCAATTGTCAAAATAAATTATAGATAGGCCGTCGATGGCTCGATAATTACAAACAGCAATTTTATTTCGTTTTGTTATAATTGTGCATGAGTATGGCTATTGCACGTTAATAACACAATTGAAGAAAATATTTCGTTAGTTAAAGTAAGTTCAAGAAAAAATAGTTATTCCATAAATATATAAAAACATATTCTTCCATCTTATACTGTTTTTGGGCACTTGCATCGAATAAGTTGAGTTCATTGGATTGCTCCATCATGGATAGACCAAGATTTCACTTTCATTCAAGCTCAGCATGCAACTCTGTTTATGTAGATAAATACGAAAAGAATGACATAAACAGGTAAGCCAGCTGAAATTGAAAGAAACTAACTCCTGGAAATTGTTTATACTTCATCAAAGTACTTTAGTTATTGTAAATAAATTAAATAATGGATGAGATATTACTGCCTACAACGAAAACAGAATCAGCTACGACAACAACAAATTCGATGACACATCACGATCACGATGACGTTGATTTAAAGTTATTCGACAAAGCTATGGGTAACAGCAATGCGGACGACTTTTCGGGAGAAGGTAATGGAGCTGGCTACCATTCAAGTGACGAAGGAGCATCCAAATCACAAGAAGAACCGGGCCTTGATATTAAAGAACCAAAACCAGAGGGTACAGATTTCAGTGATGATGCACCCTCCAAAAGACAAAAGACTAAAAAGGAAATGGAGGAGGAGGAGCGCGAAAAAATGCAGTAAGTAGTACAATACATACACCTGAGATGCAGAAGTAAAAATATAAATAATGAAAATCACTACCTTAGAGTGCTAGTTTCTAACTTCACAGAAGAACAACTCGATCGCTATGAAATGTATCGACGGTCTGCGTTTCCCAAAGCAGCTGTGAAGCGCTTGATGCAAACTATAACCGGCTGTTCTGTATCACAGAATGTTGTTATTGCCATGTCAGGTATAGCAAAGGTGTTTGTTGGCGAGATTGTTGAAGAAGGTATGTTGGTTAAGAAAATACCCTTTTGATTTTAATCCTCTAGAGGTTACAATATCTATTTCAAGCCCTAGACGTTATGGAATCAGCAGGTGAGACTGGAGCGCTTCAGCCCAAATATTTACGCGAAGCTGTACGGCGGTTACGACAACGTGGCCGTATGCCTATAGGAAAATTTCAAAAACCATATTTTCGCCTGAACTGAATGTAAAATAATAGATTCTAGTGTATTGGATTTTAGTGTTAGTTAATGAATAATGACTTAAGTGTATTTTATAATAGTAATAATGCATTAAAAACTAAGTAAATTTTACGTGCTTTTTTATCGTTTTTTGGTTTCATTGGGAGCTTGCAATTGTGCATAAAACGATTAAATTAAAAAATCGTGGTTATCGCAGATGTGATAAATGCATGTCTCGTATGTTTTTTTTTAAAACAACTTTTTTATGGATAAATAATTCAAATATGTATGTAATGTAAAACAAATAATTTGTATACTGCATTTATCCAAATCCACCAGTCTTTGATCAGAACTCAAAACTGCTTTATTTTTATTATTATTTCTTTTAACTTTATTTTTATAATTGTACAAAGTCACTTATACATATCTGCATTACTTGCACTTTATTTTAAGCATAATAGAAATATTAAAACTATATAAAATAAGATAAACGCTACCCAGGCAAGGCGTTCTTGCAGATTGTAAGAACCCGAGATCTCTCCCTTAGCTGGTCTTGGTCCGATGGTTATCTGGGTAAGCTGATTAATTTTAAGGAAATTAAAATTAAAAATAAATAAATAACTAATCAAACAGAAAGAAGCCATAGGGGTATCACACAAATATGGAATTGGGCAGAAACGACATGATGAACTGCACCAAACCAATATGCTTTGGAAGCTAAATAAAATGAGACAGCAAACACAACATGCTGTTGCTTTTGCGTTGAACTAAAGAAATTTAAATGATACAGAATACTAGAAGAAATCGGCATGAGGTAATAAACATGCAAATACGCTTTCTACAAAATGTTTGAAAATGGCTAGGCCACACTATAAAACGGAATTTTTCAATATGTCCTTAGTACTGGTTTCCAGGATTCCGACTTTTCAACCGTCTAGCGGGTGTATTTTAAGCCTATTAATATAGATAATTATATACATTTTGTAGAGCAAGAAGAGAAAATAAAAATAAAATAAAAAAAGTGTAAAAATATAAATAAAATGAAAGAAAAGTGTAAAAAATATAAATAATGCACTCTTGCCCTTATTCAAGAATAGTTGGGACTGTTAGTGTAACACTCATAAATGGTGTTATAACTTGTGGTAGCACTGATTTTTGCGTCGCTGCCGGTGTGTAGTTTAGCGGCACAGTCGCCAATGGAGCTGACGGTTCTGACGGATAGTTAATCTCCTGCGCCATCGGACGATCCCTATCAATTACTTCTTTTGCGAGTAGCGTGTTTGTTTCCTTATAATCAACACCTGCTTCCGGTTTGGCACCTAAAAGTAAATTTCCTTTTTGTACGCCCATGTATTGAGTTGCTTTTGCATTAAGTGGCAATTGACCACACGTCTCTGAATGCACCTTGCGATGTGCTTGCAAGTTGGAAACACAAGTGAAACGTTTGCCACAACCATTGCAAAGGAAACGTTTGATGCCCGTGTGCACAGTCATGTGCGTCAGTAGAGATTCACGGTATGGATAGGCTTTCGGGCACAACTGATAGAAATTAGAAAAGTTGTTAAATAAACGGAATAGCAGTAATTATATTGGTATACTCACATGGCACTGGAAGGGTTTATGGTCCGTATGTCGTGTTTTTAGGTGCGTCTTATACTGTGCTTTCACCTTAAATGCTTTACCACATTTGTCGCACTGGTAAGGTGTGTCATCCTTATGTAAGAGTAAGTGAGTTTTTAATATACCCGAGGTGGTTAAATGCTTGCCGCAAACATTGCACTGATATAACGGTTTTCTGCCACAATCAGAGCGCACATGATCGGTTAGGGCTGTGCGACCGCCGAATTTTTTGCCACATTTGTCGCAAACGAAATTCCGATTGGCAGCCGATTTATTATCCTTCTCCTGTTCATGTTTTCTGATATGATTTTTCAGTGAATCATGGCCAGTCATATATTTTTCGCAAATATTGCAATACAACATATCGTGATGCTCCTTACGTGCATGCGTTGTAGCTTCATCTTTAGTAGCGAAATACAAAGCACAATAGCAGGGACATTTGAAGATTAAGCTGCCATCAGGACCTGTAAGAAAGCACATTTAAAATTAAAAAAATTAAATAAATAATTAAAAAAAGTAAACAAAGGGTGGCGTATTCAACACCATACTTACCATGCTTCATAATATGACTCTCCAAACGTTTCTCCATTAAGTATATTTTTGAGCATATATGACATTTGAAAACTTCGCCATCATTAATACCGAATTCTTCCATTTTAAGCGACTCTTTAATCTCCTCTTCGGGACGTTTATGATCATTTCGTAAATGCTTTTCAAATGGTTTACTTATATAATAAACTTTAATACAATATGGACATTGATAAGGCTTTTCGCGGCGTTTTGTTAATTTCAAACGCATTTTTAATTCCTTCTGTGAGAGTTTTGCCAAACGTCTACGCTTATTCGGCTCTTTCGGAAATTCCGTTTTTAAGGGAGACTTTTCAGTTGACAATTCATTTTCTTCATTAATTCCATCTATTAGTTGTTCAATTTCTTCATGTTCATCTGCAGAATTAGCCGTATTCACAGTCTCTGTTTGTTTGCGTGCTTTACGTCCTCGTTTCGTTTTTTTCGCAACCACAGCTGTGGGTTCAACTTGATTTACAATATTTAAAGACTGTTTAGACATATTCAGTAAACACTCATCACTATCTGTGTCCATTGTATACGCTTTTTGTGCTTGCGCAGATTTTTTTCTTTGTGGACGCGGAAATGTTGGAGCAATGGTTGACACATTTATGCTCGATTCTTCTTTTAATTGAGGATATCGCTGACAAATGTCACGTAATATTATTTTACACGCTGTCAGGGTGCTACTTGCAGGCTGGAAGATGACTTAATAAGTATTTCGATATTTATTTTCATATTTTTTTTTTTACACTTACCGTGTCTACATCTAAAACATCCGTTTCTTCTACATAATTTATGCTGTTTTCATTTTTAATTATTATTAATTCAGTCTCATGCAAACCACTAACGTGCTCCTTACACTGCTGATTATCGCTTTGCGCCATTCCTTCATTCTTTGCATCATTGAGTAAGCTATCTAGCGATTTACCATCTTCTGACTTGAAGCTGAGCTCCGCTTCTATGAATTCCACTTCGTCATCACCATTTTCCTCTTTTATTTCTTCAAATTTTGGCAACGAAAATTTTGCATTTTCCTCATGCTCATAATAGTCGTCGCCCTCACTGTCAACGGGATCAAAACCTGCATAATCGTCATCGGAGTCTCTTTCCGATTTTTCAAGTTTTTCGCTAATAACGTTCTCGAAGCCACTTTGTGGACTTTTAGTTTGATGCATGGTTGTTAATATGTCTAGCCGTGTACTGGCTTCTTCGTGTTTGTTTTCATCATTCTCCTCTTCTTCCGTATCTGTTTCAGGTATTTGACTTTTTCGTTTACCCGGTTTACGTCCTGGTTTGCCGGCAGTACTTTTGCGTGCAGTCATTTTAGTGTAAATATCCTTTTTTGTCTTCGTTTGGCGCATTTGATCTTTATGATCCGGCTTAATTATTCGATTAGAATTGCTTACTTTTATCTCTGAGGTAGGATTAAGTGTTGGTGGTACTACAAAAAAAAAAAATAACTTTTGAAATAAATTTTCTCATACAAATTTTATGCACTAACTTCTTAAACGGTTTTTCTTACGCACGCGCTCCTTTGGCGGATCGAATTCCGGCAGCCCACAGGTGTCAGGCCGCGTACGTCGATGCTTTATTAAGTTAGAATGGCAAGAGAAACGTGTATGACAACATTTGCACTCCACCAAACGGATGCCCGTATGAATTGAGGAATGTGTAACAATACTTTCGCGATGTGCAAAGCATTTACCGCACACCTTAAATAGTGAAATTAATTAATTTAACTTAATTTAAAAACATGAATTATTTATACACCTACATCACATTTATGTGGCTTTTCGCCTGTATGCGAACGTTCATGTTCAATTAGACGTCCCTTTTGGAGAAAATTTTTACCACAATAACTACAACAGTATTTACGTTCTCCCGTATGTAATTCTTTATGTTGTTTCAGATTGTATTTGGTAACAAAACTCATTGGACACTGATCACATTTGAAGGGTTTAATTGTGCCACACTCCGTTTCTAAGTGTCGTTTAAATGGTAGGAGTGTCTTATATTCTGCTCCACATTTGTCACATTTGTACATTTCACGATCGATGCCATTGTGTATAATACGTATATGCTCCCGATAGTCACTTTCATTGGTAAAAGTTACTCCAGTACATAGTCGGCAGATAATTGTGGTATGTATCTCATCACGGTGCTTCTTCAATGCATCTTCAGAGCAAAAACGTTCATCACAATAGCGACAGAGAAAGCCACCTGGAGGCTCGTGCTTCTTCACATGATTTACATAGCCGTTAAGTGATGTTAGTGCCTTATCACATACAGGACAGTGAAGTTTTGGTACCCCATCAGTGGTGAGCTGCACCAACATTGATGTTGCCGGTGATACGTTGTCGGTTTTGGCAATGTCTGCCATGATTGATGAGGTTCAATGTTTTTTCAGGGGTTTGTTGAATGTTTTGCTTTAAAAATGCTCTTACTTATACATACATATGTCGAGTGCTTGGAAATGAAACCTAGAAAAGCAAGAACATATTAAATATTACAGTTTACTTGTTTTGCAATGCTCATCTATTCCCAAATATTTACATATTCTTCACTCACTCACATCAAACACTTTAACGCTAAAACTTGCTTTAAACTGGAAGCTCAGATGTGGGACATCAAAATCGTAATCGCACATAAATAAATCTTCACCCAAACTCCACTTTGCTTAATAATCCACTCTACAGCTTCTTTTTTGATAAATAAATACTTTGTTGTATGTTTTTCATTTACTACACGAACAAATTAGTTGCATTAAACTCCCATTCAACAATAGCAAAAATGTAAACAACTATCGCACTGCAAGAAATTTTATAGAAATTTTCATAAGTTCATGTTTCACCAAAATTCACTACACTTTTAAAATTTTTGATGGTAAAAAATCTATGCTTATTAGATTTTCTACACTTAAAAAATCGACGCGACCAACAATTGTCTATGCGAAATCAAAGATGGCAGACTGTGAAATACAAACGTCAATTTTGTTGTGTGTATTCGGTTATACCCTGTTCACATTAACATAATTTCGTCTTTTAATATCACTCATTTTGTTCTATATACACCAACTAATTATTATTTTGAGGTATATCAATGGCTTGTCCACTATTTTTTTTTTCATTTGAAGATACTCGCAATTTTTTTTTTGTAAGGAAGAAAGCGCTGGAATGATTTGCAAACAACAATTACATGTAAATGAAGTAATTTGCATACAAACATGAATTTATGAATATTGTAGTCATACCATTAGTGTTGTTTTTCTTATGGTGTTGCCAGCCACAAGTGCCTAACCAGCAAATTTCATGAATGAATTAGGTGAATAATAATTTTCTATTTTGTAAATAAATAATTTCGCAATTAAAACTATAAAATAAATTATAAATATAAAGCAATTTTTTTTAGCTAAAAAATTTAAAAATTTAATTGTTATTACATGCACCCGAAACAAGAAAATATTTAGTATATCGATGCCGAGATTTAAGAGTTAAGCAGGTAAATCAACGACATTGCAAAGTCCAAATTGCCCCCAACGCAGCTCAAACCGCCAATATTCATTTACCGAAAGAATCTGCACCTCGTTAATATCGTAAAAAGTACGTCATGTGAATCCATAAAAATACTTAAGTACAGAGCTGTAACTTCTCAGTCACTTAAAGGTGGTATAAAATGCGGTGCGATTCGTTGCTATTGTGGGTGCCAGGCAGTTAGCTATTAACTCATTACCTCAACTAAAATCGACGTCGGTGACGTCAATATTTCGACTATAAATAACCAACAGTTACTGGGAGTCACGAATACGATTATTATTAAAGTACAGAGCTGCAATAAAGTGCTCTAGTTCCTAGCCGTTAGCACCAGGGAGATACAAAAGTAACATTGCGCGCAACTGCTAAGACAATCGGCTGGACGATCATATACTAACCTGCACCGACTTGGGTACCGGACGCTAAAAGTTAAGCTGTTGTCAAAAACTGACCTAAGAACCATGACAAGAAATCTCTAGATTCACGCTGTGCACCTCGTAGGTCTTTTTTTGCAGAAACCTGCTGCACGCTGAATCATCCTTCCGGGCAAATCGGCACTACTTTACTTTACGAATTCCATTCAACGCTATGCCACAGAACAAGGACAATATGCTGACTAGTTAAACTAAGCCATTCAATCCACACCTACAGTTTGTCCACACCTACATTAATTCTCTTCCCGTGGAATGCGTAATCGGAATCCAAACACCTTAGTAGATGAAAAGCTCGAACTGTCCCGGGAGATCCGAGTAATACTGACACAACTGAGTTGCGGATGCTGCAGTAGACTTACCTCCTAATTATCCAGACTCAATGCCTATATACCCGATTCGTTCGAGCCTACCTGCTCCTGAGCAGAGTTAGGCAAGCAGATACGCGACAACAACTACAACAATAGCATACATGAAAGCAGAGAGTAGCATAAGCCGCGGTAGTCTTTACTACTAGGAAAGACAAAAATATCAATCGGTATAGCAAGATTGGTTGATAGAATCCCGGGTCATAGTTGTGTGTCAGCGACTGTCGGTACTGAGTGGAGGGAGTAATGACGAACGTATTTAAGTTCAACGATTTCATTTTATCACGGCCGCAATAGCCGTGTGGTTAGCAACGCGAAGCTTAGCCAGGTCTACATCCGAAAATTATAGGAAATCAATGTTGGGAAACATCAAGATGCACACGACAAATTGGAGAAAGAGCTCAGCTGAAAATCGCATATGATTCCGTTTTCTTGTAAAGTCTATTCGTCTAATCAAATGGATAAATATTTTATATACCGGCTAGCATAGGTGGAAAAGGGCTTGCCTTTATTTGATGCTTCTCCAAATGGACTCGGTTACGGGGGTAGCATTTGGAATTTGCGTTAATTTTCGGACACCCTGTATATACCTGTTGTGTTAATACCTGAGTGATCCATTGATTTGATTTTCTATAACGAAGTGTTGTTTTTGTTGTCAACTGTCCAGTGGAGAGATATTGAGGACTACATTTAGAGCCCCACTTAGCGCGCTCATGCAGTGCAAGTGGGTTGATAACGGGAATCTGTTACAAGCTGTGACATTTATTGTCTGATTATATTTGCCGCGATTATGGTAACTCTGCGATCTTGAAACTCCCTTTCCCTTCTCCGGGCATTCATCTCAACTTTATTGATATATTTGCCATCGCTCTGGCTTGTTCAGTTCGCTTGCTTTGTCGTGTTGAGTAAAAGTGAGTTCGTGGTGCTCGTCACGAAAATGAAAAAACGAAATCAAGAGCAACGCGTCGCGATAAAATTTTGCGCCCAATCGAATCGGGCGAAGCAGCTTCGGAAACGTATGCTAAAATTGTAAATTAGAGCTGGTTTTTCAATACGACTCAGAAACCAAACGCCAAAGCTCACAATGGTTGTCTCCGCACGCCTCTCGCTTGAAAAAAGCTCGCATGTGCAAATCGAAGTTGAAAAGGATGATTATTGCCTTTTTTGATAGCCTTGGAATTGTCCACAAAGAATTTTTCCCAGTATTTGGGCTCTAAAGGGATCGCCGTGTTACAACAAACGTCTTATTCGCCTGATATGTCACACTGTGACTTTTTTGACACTTTGAGTCGATTGAGGACATTCAGGCGGCCGTAACGAGGGTGCGGGGACGGTCATCCCTGTCGAAGCGTTCTAGAAATGTTACGATGCATAGAAAACGAGCTGGAATCACTGCATAGCTGCCGGGGGGCATTACGCATTACGGTTTTCATGGAACCAGACTCATTGCTTAATTGTCACTACTCGTATCTCCTCGTATATGGTACTAGTTCTACTTTGTTTGAATTGACACAGGGACTATACATTTGCCTCCATATCTGGTTACTTGATATCATTCCAGGTTCGCGGTTATAACCATGCTTAGCAGAACTTGGTTGAAAAAATCCACTAACAGAGTGTCGACATCTAAGCTCAACAGCTATAACTGCATTTGGTAAAATGTTGCTGAAGGCTCACTCTATACATATATAGGAAGGTAATAAGACAGTTTATTATAGAGGGGATTTTCTATAGAGTATGTGGTCTGTGTAGCGCAGTTTCTGTCCATTTGCCGTTCTGATAGACGTGCTGATCACTTGAGAGTGGCCTCTTATCAAAGCTTCCATTAAGATAGCTTACTATGAATGCTTTTAACCCGAAGAATGAGTGACTTATGGGCCTGAAGTCTTTAGGGTTGCGATGGGCGCATTTCCCTGCTTTGGGTATAAAGACGACTGATAACCGTCTCCATGTCAGTCGTATATAGTTAAATTTCAAGCATGCCACAAATGTATATACATAGCTTTGACCAATCTTATTATGAATAGCTCTTGGTAATACCGCCCGGCCCAGGTGTTTTGTATGGGTTGAAAGTTTCTCTTGCATTGATTATCATTTCCTACGTGATAAGTGGATCGAGAGCTCTAGACAGATGTGCTGCCAAGAAGAAGTAGTTTTATAGTTTCATGTCCAGAGCTAGTCTAGGTGCTATACTGTTCTTAAAGAAAATCGATGGACATAGGCTAGGGCTGGGCCTTGTGGTTTCAGCTATGCCCTCAATATCACTGCAAAAATCTCTACAAAAAGATCTTTTTGCCGTCTTTATAACTTTTTTTTATGGAACCTGAGTAGATCTTTATATGCTTGCTTGTGAGGTTCCTCGTATAGGATCTCCGGAGTCTGGAAAATTCTGTCGACTACCAATGCAGTTTTGGCTTTGCTCACCGCTTATATAATGGAAATACTCGACTTCGAGCTTGTGTGTAAGAATAAGTGAATGAAAGAGTCTTAAACAATACTTAGGAGTCTTTAAAAAAAAAACTTGATAAATAATTTAATAAAACTTGCTTTTTTTTCTTTTTTCGTTTATTCGTTACTCGTAAAAAGCGTTTCAGTTTTAGTCAGCGTGGATACTTAAAAGTTATTCTCTCTTATTTTACAAACATCAAGTACATACATATGTATTTATACAATTCACACATACCTACATATATAATAAAGTATATATTTTGCAATACATACAAACGTATATGCATATACTATGTATTTTTTTAAATACTACAATATTGTCTAATTTCTTAAGCGAAAAATTCACAAACCTTTGAGTATTCGCGTCTTCAGAACGCCATTCTTTTCTTCTTTTCACTAAGTCTCGGTTTTCATTTCTTCTGTTAATTTTTTTTTTTTTTTGGTTTTTTTGGTCTCACAGCATATGGAAGGTACATACAGACACATATACATATAATAACAAGCATGCATATATACATATATAGATATATATATATATATATACATATATATATATTCATAAAGTATTCTTTTCGTTTCATATTTAGTTAATCATTTATAATACTAAAATGTTGAAAAACAAATTTCCAAAAAAAAAAAACAAAAACAAATAAAATTAAATTAATATTTGCACTCAGTACCTTAGGTAATTGCAATACATAATATGTACATACATCTATACATATACTCTAATTGTGACTACATAGCATGTGCATGTGCTGCTCCTTAAATTATATACACGTATGTATGTATGTAGTATAGTACAATTTCATAAACTCTCCAATTCATGCCTCGCTATTTTATCAATAATTCTATCGTTTATCACTTCTTTCACATTTATCGACCACAAAAAGTCATAGTGATTCCAGTCTTCGTAGGGTATGCGATAAAGTTCCGCGCACGGCAATAGTGTTGCCAAATATTCCACATCTTCAACAGCTGACATGTAATCATTGTTGCTATAATACATATTTACACAACTAGAGATCTGATGGACCTCGTAGGATGGCGGCGTCTCCTGTTGATAATATTTCTTATTCAATTCGATGCCATGATCGTATTGACGGAAATCTCCAGAGGTGTACAACTGTAGGTAGTGAATGATTTGGGTGGTGGAGGCACCGGCTGGGTGGGTTTCGCAAACGTGTGGCAGCAATGTCTGCAAGAAAAAAACAAAAACAAATTAGTGATTATTGGGCTAAGCAAGGGTAGAATGTATAGAAATTTTGTGTGTAATAAGTATTTGTGTTCTTGATAAAAATATTGACCTTCCAAATGCTTGAAAACAACTGAGTAAATTAATGAAACGAGGCCTCGAACTAAGCAGATATTCAAGCAGTAGAAATTTTTGACCGAGCTTTATCTACAAACGATTTGTGCCGGGAGACACAGGGTAAAGAACTACAGCTTATGCTATCAACGGATGGTTGATGGAGTTTATGAGGAGCTCCACTTTCAAATCAAAAATACACTCCTGACGAGTAGTTGACACCTCTCAGGCAGGTTATGCTTGTCGTCGTTTTTGATAGCAGGCAAAACTTGTCGATGTTAACGAGCTCGTTTAACAGGTAGGCTCAAGACAAATTTGGACTAGAGCGGAGAGGGGTGTTAGATGTGTAGCGCTTAATGGTAGTAGACACGCTCAGAGGTAGCTAGTGTTGTGTAGAGATTCATTGCATGCAAAGCATTCGTTGGGTACATCGAAGGCGAGTCTGCATAGGAAGGAGTTGAGTCTATTACAACGTCTACATCTTAATTGTGGCAGTCACGCTTTAAGCTTGTAGTTAACGTATCGGATTGCTACCCGATTACTGCGGCCACGGCTGCAAATACTTGCTTTACTGGCGAAGACACCGCTTAATGTTTGGCGTCAATTGGAAATACCAAGTACAGTCAGGTCCTTCTCTACCTAGTTTTTCTTCCTCTCTTTCTACCGGCGGATACTGTATCGAAAACTTTCAAAGCTGGAGTATTCGCATAAATCCGGACCACATGACCTAGCCAGCAGAGCGACGGCTTCTTGATTCGCTGAATTATTTCAATGTCGTCGTGTAACTCGTACAGCTCATCGTTCACGCAAAAACTTTTTCTCGAAAAGAAAATATAATATTTTGCATTGGTTTAATCGAAATAAACCTGCACATTCAAGCAATCCGAATAGCACAAGGGTTGTTTACATACCCAGAACTTGCTTGTTAGTCCAGAGGTAGTGGAAGCCGACATACCTGCTTGGAGGACTCGGAATTGCCAGCTGACTCGTATATGCTCTCCATTAGGCAACCAAAAGGAAAATGTAGTGGGAAGGTGTAGATCTGCTTCTTAATCTTCCTTATTGCCGTATGCACCGCTTACGCGATTATAGCGTGAAATTCGTTTCTTCTCTTACGCATTCGGAGGCAACTGAAAACGTCAAGTGAAGACTGGTACTTTTTCCCCTGATATCTTTAAAGGAGTGGGAGTCTTTTTCTTTCTTTGCTTCCACAGTTGGGTATTGTTCCGAAAACTATCAAAGCTGGAGTGTTGTTGAGCATACGACATGACCCTATCTACACCGTCGTCGTACATCTCGCATAGCTTATCATTTCAACATCTGCGGTTTACGCAAAGGTATATAAATCGTTCGAAAAACTTTTCTCTCGATTCAAAACTAAGAAAAGTGCAGCAGGTTTAAGAATCTGCAGAGCGCTCTTGTGCAGATGGACCCCAATTTAGCTCAGTTAAGGGTTGAAGAGAATGGAGCCAAGGTTTGGACCGGCTCAGTTGCCAGGCTTTCATAACTAAATATGGCTAGCGTTAGTCCAGCATATATTTTAGTCCGGAGCAGGCGAGTTTAAATATTCTCAACACGGTCCTGTGCCGATAAGGACGAATTTCGATCCAAGTTAACCTAATCTAACCCAGGTGATATTCCGACGCAAATCACTCAAAATTAAAAGCTTTAAATTAAAAACCACTCATTCTAACTGAAATGATCCGGATATTCTACTAGAGGATAATAAAAAAAAAATCTGTGAATCTTTTCACTACAAACATTTAAAAAAGGAAAATGTCTACTTACATGATTTAAATGCCGCGTACCCCAACCGCCGAGAAAATCCAAAATGCCCGAGCACAAAAACCGAAATGTAGACTCCGCCGAGCATACATATTCGCACAAAAGCTTCTGTACACTGGTGATCGGCAGCAACTCTATACCGCCCAGCACCCAACTCAAAAACGAAGGATAACCCAAGAACAGGCCACCCAACTTGGACAGCATAAACGAGTGGTTACGCATAAAGGCGATGGGCGCCAGCAAATGCACCGTCTTCACCTTCTCATTATACCAGGGCAGGGTTGACATGAGTACGAAGAATGTGGTGGTGCCTTGTGAATGCGCCACAAAATGTACGGCGGTATCATTTGTCTCGACCAACACATAATCCAACATTGAAGCCAAATCATAAACGCCAATCTCATGCCAACTGAAATTCCAGAAATCCGATGAATCCGGATGTTTGTGCTTGTGTTGACGCGAATAGGTATTGCCACGTGCATTGCCCAGCCACACGTCATAACCGGAGTCGGCAAACATATAGGCCAGCGATGTATCGGGACCGTTGAGTATCCAATCATCTGAGGCGCAAAGTATGCCATGCTGCAGAAAGACGACCGGCTTGGAGGTGCGTGCAACGGCTGTTGAATTCGCTGTGCCGCGTAAATTCGGTGAATCGGGTATTCGATAGATGGTAAGGATATAATCATCGGGTGTGTGCACTGTGTGCTCTTCTACGGGATAATTGTGATTGGATATCATTTTCGCCTGGAAGAGAGAGAGAGATGTTGGAAAATGCATATAGAATATTGAATAAATATTGGTAAGCGAAGAAAGAAAAATAAATTCTATAAAATATATTAAAGTAAGATGTTTGTGTTTCAAAATCGTAAGACACCATAATAATTCTACAAGTAAAAATAATTTAAAATATCATTAAGTGAAGTGGAGTTAGTGGTAAAATATTGACACATTTCGAATCTTCTTTCCGCAGTCTTCTTCCCGACTCGTAGAGGACCATAAGTCTTACGCAAGACCTTTCCCTAGAAAACTTCAAGTCCGACGCATCAGATATTGTCAGGGTCCTTGCCTCCTCACCATATAACTGTTGATGAGCGACTTATAGAGTTTCGTTTTCGTTCGTCGGGAGAGGACTTTACTTTCCAATTGCCTATTCAGTCATAGAACCTGTTGGCAAGAGTGATTCTGCGCTGGATTTCAAGGCTGACATTATTATTGGTGTTGATGCTAGATAGACGAAGTTATTTTTGACAGTTTGTTTGATGACAGGAGAAGATTGTACCTTCTCTATTCAGCTCTGCAGCTCATATTATTTTCTCCAGCAATAAGTTAAACAAGTCGCACGATAAGGAATATCCCTGTCTGAAACGTCGTTTGGTATCGAACGGCTCGGAGAAGTCCTTCCCAATTCTGTCCGCGCTTCTGGTGTTGTCTAGCGTTAGCTTACACAGCCATATAAGTTTTGCGGGGATACCAAATTCAGACATAGCGGCATAAAGGCAGCTTCTTTTCGTGCTGTCGAAGTCGGCTTTAAAATCGAAGAAGAGGTGGTCGGTGTCGACCTTTTTTTTACCGGTCTTTTCCAAGATTTGTCGCATGGTGAATATCTGGTCAATGGTTGACTTACCAGGTTTGAAGCCACGCTGATAAGGTTCGATCAGTTTGTTGACGGTGGGCTTCAGTCTTTCACACAATACGCTCTACAGGACCTTAGGCAGATCACACCAAATTTCAATGGTCGGGGATGTTTTCGTCGGACCATACTCTGAAAAGTAGCTTATGCATCCACCTTGTCAGCTATTCATCGCCATGTTTGAATAGTTCTGCCGGTAAGCCGTCAGCTCCCGCAGCTTTCTTGTGTTTTAAGCGGGCGATTGCTATTCGAACTTCTTCTTTATGGTTTAATATAATAAAAAAGAAGCTGGTTTTTGTTGTTGTTGTACCGGCTACTCTAACCCTGTCTGAGTGTAGGCTATGTCAGTCATCGAGGTCATCAAACGGAAGCTCCAGAAGACGAACTGTTTTGACGAGTTCGTACCAGAGGGTCAGATAAGTAGGTTGTAAGGGAAAAGCAAGCGGTAGTTAGAGGTGTGCGGGTCTGGGTAGATGGGATTTTAGTCGCCTACAATAACCAGACGTTAAGTGTGCCCCTATTATGAAGAACTCTGGAGCCACATCGAGCTCTTCAGTCTGCAATGGGTGGTCGTTTTGGCGACTGAAAAAATTAATTTAGTTTATGTAGTACAAAAGTGGTTTGCTAGGTTCCGTTCCGGTAATTTCGATGTCAAAGATGCACCACGCGTTGGAAGGCCTGTCGTCGAAAATTGCGATAAAATCATATATTTAATTGCTGAGGAACTACAGATAAGCCAGAAAACCATAGATACATATGCATGACCTTGGATTCAAAAAGAAGCTCGATGTTTGGATGCCCCACGAACTAAAGCAAAAAACATGATGGACCGAATTTCCATCTGCAAATCGCTGCTGAACCGCAAGAAAATCGAACCGTTTCTGAAGCGAACTGTGACTGGCGATGAAAAATGGGTCACTTGCGACAACATCGAGCGCAAACGAACGGCGAGTTGCCCTAACGAACTGAATATCGACACCTGCTTCGGTGATTCTCGCTTTTTTTTTTAGCAAAGAAACGAAAAACTATTAAAGAAAAAAGTAATTTAATTTTCTTGGCAAAAGTTGTATGAAAAATATTGTGGTTATAATGGAAAAACCACAAAACATGTAATGAGCAATTAACCTCAGAATTAGGCTGGTCAAGTGCAATAATCTCATTAAAATTAAATTTAAACTCTTATAATCTCTGCTAATGGTTATTATGAGTATAAGAGTTGAGAGAAAAGATATTCATAAACGGTCAACAGTTAAGCGTAAATTAAGCTGGACATAAAGCAATGCATGAAACGTAATATTTGTCAAGTCAAAAGTTCGACCGGTTTTTTTGATAGATTTTTCAAAATTGGATAACTTTGTGTACATTTACCCCATTTAAGTCAAATAAGCGCAGTTTTGTTCGTAAACTTGTTGCCAACGAGATGCAAACTTCATTATAGGTCCAAAATATTATTGGTGGCTCACTTATAATTGTATATGTAACGCCATCAAGTACCAACCGAGTAATGGAAAGCAGTGAAGGATGCCAGTAGAGCCTCTAACAGAAGTTAAGTTCACTGCCTGGTACGCATAGCAGTTTCCATTAGCGGCCAGTACTAAAAACAAGGGTACCGTTAAAATGACGCCAAGTGTTGAAACTTCTCGCCAGCCCTTGCCGGGCCGTTAGTGACTAAACCGAACTGTTGACAGTTATAACTTTAAGGTCGTAGATAATTTCGTATTAACTCCAATAACAATGTCAGCCTTGCAAACCAGCGCAGAATCACTATTGCCCAGAGGCGGCACTTTGGGCTGAGTAGGCAATTGAAACCAAAAGTTTTCTCTCGACGAACAGAGGTCAAACTCTACAAGTCGCTCATCATCTATTATAAGGCGCGAAAGCATGGACGATCTGGTGAGACGGCGTTAAGAGTTTCCGAGAGAAATGTTTTGCGTAAGATTTACGCTCCTCTACGAGTTAGGAATGGCGAACACCGCAGGCAATGGGACGATGAGCTGTACGAGTTTTACGGCGACATTGGCATAGTTCAGCGAATCAAGAAACATCGGCTACGGTGGCTTGGTCGTGTAGTCCGGATGGATAGGGATACTCCAGCTTTGTAAATTTTCGATGCAGTGGAAGCAGAGGGAGAGGAAGACCTCCACTCAGTTTGAAATACCATGTAGAGAAGGACTTAGCTGTACTTGGTATTTCCAATTGGCGCCAAACAGCGAAAAGAAGAAACGAATGGCGCAGTGTATACGTCAGTAAAGTAAGAACATTTGTGCTGGTCTTCGACCAAATGGTGCAATATTTAATGGCCAGACAAATCAAAGAAAGCTGTATAACCGATAGGGATCGCGTCAATATGTATTATGATCATCAAATAACAATACATATCAATAAAAGTAGACAACAAATGTGGTTTAGGCGAAATATTCTTGGTGCTTTATAAGTTGAAATCTGCCGACGGGCGAATGTAATTGGAAAATTTAACTTAATTTTTTATTTAAATTAATTTTCCATAACTTTTGGTTGTTGTTGGCACCGGGATTTTAACTCGAGCCTTCCGAATGTCAGTACGCAATGCTAACCACTCGGCTAGCGCGGCCGCTTTCATACACGTATGTTTGGGTGGAAATTCTGCTTATTTGAACATTCCAGCTAGACAAAGGTTTCCAGGGCATAAGCAAAGTGGCTAAAAAGTAGTTTGTGGAATGCAAGGTCAACGTCATGAAGAGATTTCACAGTCCACTCACAGTAATCCCAAACAAAAAATCTGTAAACTGACAAAAACCGCATTGACAACTCAAAAATAGCAGGCTCTGAGATGTGAAAAACTTGTAGAATTCATGCCAAAAAAACAAAGTCCACACAACTAAATACTAATTTCAAAAATAGACAATATCCAATATGAAAAAATTAAAAAAATTCTCTTTTCATAGAATTTTTGGCAAAATTTCGATTACTAAATTTTTCACCACAGCTGTACACACATATATTTATACTACAACAGTTAGGAAGCAGAAAAAAATGGTAAAAAAAATCATCATATAATATTAATATATATGTATGTATGTGTTTAGGCATAAATGTGTGTAAATCTTCGCAACAAAAGGCGCGCGCCATACTCAATACTCATTCCCGTATTATGTATACGTGTATTCCTATTCGTACAATAACAATTTCACATTGATGATTACTAATCAAAAGCAAACCAAGTGCGAAATCTACGCAAGCAAAACTGAAACATAAAAAATAAAATACGAAAACAAAATACAAAAAAAAAAAAAAATTTAAACATTTATTTGTACATATGTATGTACGTGTATGTATGTACAATATAAAGTCGCACAGTGCACCACAGCAATTGATTGTGTGCGGAAATGAGCGCGCAGGAAGGGGGAACGAACCAAAGTCCAAGCAACGTTTTACGAGTGCCAACCAAGTAATTTAAAATTATGGCAAAGGTGCCAAAACGTTTGTGATAATTCCGAAAGCGGGCTGACTGGCGAGCGAAGTAAAGATACATATGTGACTGGGCAGGGTTTAGTAGTATGTATATTTGTAATATATATCTAAATATATTTAAATTTAAACAATTTCATACTAGCATTTATATGCACATATATATACACCTTTGGGAATACCATAGATACACTTGTCACATTGACTGCCTGGATTTTTTGAGCTTTGATCTGTTTGCCTTGCTCTGCTGTGCGTGACGCATTGTGGTTGTTTGCTCATTTTATTTTCTTAAGCGCGCCCGTTATTTATGCGTTTGCTTTTTGTTTTTTTTATATGGTTTTGTTTTGGTATGGTGATTTTGGGTGCATCATTATCCCAGTTGATTAAGGGCGTGCATATGGTAAACGCTTTAAGGACTATCATAGGAAGGCAGAAACTTGAAATGTCCGTTTTCTTGAAGGAAAGATATCCACCGCCTGGCAGGTGGTCGTAAAGTTGAAAATATAACTCGTCTAACTGCACTCGGTTACAGCGTTCAGCTACGAGGTGTGACGATAAAGTAATGAGACTGATTATATTGCCGCGATCATGATAACTCTGCGACTTTGAAACTCCGTTTCCCTTCTCCCAGCATCCTTCTCATCTCCATTGATATATTTGCCATCGCTCTAGCTTGTTTAGTTCGTC